GCTTTGTAGGCGTGCTAAGCACTGAAGCATGCAGGCAGGATCATTTTGCCCAGAAAGGTTCTGGATGCCCCATCCCTGGAGGCATTCAAGGCCAGGCTGGATGTGGCTCTGGGCAGCCTGGTCTGGTGGCTGGTGATCCTGCCTATGGCAGGGGGGTTGAAACTAGATGATCTTTGAGATCCTTTTTAACCCAGGCTATGACTATTGAATCTCTTTAGAAGCTTATTCCCCCCCCAGGTCCCTCCCCAGAGCTGTTCTTTTGAGTGTGACAGCCATCCCTCAAGGGTGTGTTCACCTCTACTTCTGACTTCCCTGAATACGAGGCTTTTTCCACCTTCCTATCAGTAGCTACCACTTCTGAACAATGAATTAGCTTATCATTGCATAAGGGTAATTAGTTTGTAATTTAAAGTTACCACAATACATGTAGATCTGTGGACACAGTGGTTTGGCTGAAATGCTCTGCCAACATGGAGAGGTGCAGAAGATGCTTAGTGGGCATAGTGCTGATGGGTTGATGGTTGGACTCAATGATCTTTTAGGTCTTTATGATTTTGTGTTGCTGCTGCTTGCCTGAGATGCTCCAGTGAGCAGGAATTGCCACCCCACATCCCCCTGGGCTCTTTGGAATATCCAGCTTAGTCAGAACCCTCTTGGGATGAAGGTTCCTGATAAATCAAATGTTCCATTTTATCAAAATGTGTGTCCTCCCATGTTTTTACCCCTCAAAGGCTGGATCTGATCCTTTCTGCTGTTTTCCTCTCCTGGGGAGGTTTTCTGCCTCAGCTCCCCACTTTGACCCCACAGCTACCTGGAGCTCTGACCCCACTGGTAACAATAAGGGTCCCTGTGGATGGAGCAGGTATGAGAGATGCCCCCAGGAAACAGGGGCTCTTCTCCACTTGCCTTAGGCTTCATGTACATTCCCACACTTATTAATTCTTTTTCCTTCCACAAAGAGACCAAAAAGCCCTAAAATGTACCCAAAAACCCTTCTCCAGCTGTCCCTATCCATGAACAGGGGAAGCAGCAAGGCAGGACCTTCAGATCACTTCTCACTACAGAGCCTTGCCTCTTTTTATTTTTTTTTTCCCCAGCTCTCTACCCAAGGAGCTTTTGCCAAAATGCGTTTTCCACATGTTCCCTATTAGTCATGCTCTCTGTCTTACAAATCTGTTACCAGCACCGCTAGCCGATGCTATTAATTTACTTCCAGTCCACTCAAGAGCTCGGCAGCAAAATTCCAGGCACCGTTCCTAAAACCAGACCCGGCGGTTTGTTTGGATTTAAAAACCGATGCCTCCTTCCTGCCCAGTATATATAGCACCTTCTCCCAAAGCTTGGGGACACCCAGCAAGGAGAGGGGCTGGGGTGGGAGCTGGGCTGCCCCAGAGGCGGGGTCTGCAGAGCCTTAAATCCTGCCCCAGAGCTCGGCGTCCCAGCGGAGCATGGCGTGAGCACGGCAGGACTTTATCTAGGGCAAGGCGCAGGAATGCTGGTGGAGGAGGGCAAGCAGCACCATGTCTCCGTGAGTACATTTTCCATTGTTTTCCCTTTGGTTTAAACAACTGGGTGGGAAGCGAGTAGAAAGGAAGGACGTCAGGCTAGCTAGATCTATATACTTTTTTCCTATTTTTCTTTTTTTTTCTTCTCATTCTGCTTCTTTTAGACTCAAGTTTTAAAATTTTTCCCAGTCCCAACAGCTGCATCTGCAATTGCACAGAGGGGATTTTGGTGGTAAGAAAGTGGAACCAAGAGTTAATTGCTGGCTCTGTGGGATTTCCACTATTTTAAGGCTGAGCCGAAGGCACTCGAATTGCCGCTGTCGCATTGAGAGATCCCAACTTCTATTTGTAGCTGTCTGGAAGTGAAACGTGTGCCCGGTGCCAGTCAGCCTGATGTGTGCAGCTGGAATGAATGGATTCCAAGCTGCAGGGACGCTGGGTCCCTCTTGGGATCTCTCTGCACGTAATTGAGCCACACAAACCCCCCTGACCCCATCCATTCCGTGCTGCAGCCCCACACAGTCCTTGTCCCAGTGGGCTGATCATAGCAGGATTCTTCCCTTGTCTCCTTCAGCTGCTGTTGTGTGAGTGGGTACGGGGGAGCACAACGCAGTCATTGAGGTGCAGTCATGCCCAGAGGCACAGCAGGGTCCCAGCAGTGCAGGAGCAGCTGGGGGCTGTTTTCTGCACATGTTGCTGCCTGTCCAGATGTGCACAGCAGGCTGAGCACAGGCTGTGGCTGGTAGTTGGTATTCACAGATTGTGTTCTCCAAGCAGTGGCCTTCTGGTTGTTCTGTTAGTTTGTGATTTCTCTCCCTGATGCGGGGGATCGTGAAGGGTTTAAGCCAATGTTGCCAGGTGCTCCAGTCTGAAATGTGCTTCCTGGAGGAATCAGTGTGTGCTAACAAATGTTAAGTCAGAACTTGAATATTTGCTCCAAAAGCCGTCATTGCCTTTGTCAAGTCCTCAGTGCCCCACCAAAACTGCTGCTGGGAGGTAACTCTGACCTGTGGGAACTGTGTAATGGAATCACAGAATCACAGAATTTGGGTTGGAAAGGACCTTAAAGCCCATCCAGTTCCAGCCCCTGCCACGGGCAAGAACATCTCTCACCAGGCCAGGTTGCCCAAAACCCCATCCAACCTTGCCTTGAGTGCCTCCGGAGGGACGTCCACAGCTCCTCTGGGCAGCACTGCCAGTGCCTCACCACCCTCATTGTGAAGAATTTTTTCCTACTATCTAACCTAAACTTACCATCTTTAATTTAAAGCCATTATCTCCTGTCCTGTCACTACGCTCCCTGACAAAGAATAAGCTTAATGTGGAGCTTGCAGCTGATTGTGGGTGCTGATGGGTGGCACAGAGACCACCAGGCTGGGTCAACTACCCAAGCTCCAACCCTGCCCTGGCTGCACAGATGTTCCAGGGATGGATGTGCCATATCCCACAAAGGGCAATCAGCACCCCAGTGCCTTCTCTTGCCACCCCTACCTGCTGGGTCTTGGCTGAGGGCCGGCGTGAATCCTGCAAGTTGTATAATGCTCCATTCTGCTCATGACTGAATAGGCACACAAAGCAAAGGAAGGACTGGGATGCTTTGAAGGGGGACTACTGAGTCTAAAAGAAGCCAAAGGCATTCACAAGGGGTGATGTCCCATCCCTAAATAGTTGTAGAATCACAGAATCATTTGAGTTGGAAGAGATCCTTAAAGGCCATCTGGTCCATCTCCCCTGCACTGACCTGGGAAACCCACAGCTCCACCAGGTGCTCAGAGACCCATCCCCTGACCTTGGGTGTCTCCAGCGATGGTCCCCCACCAAATCTGTGTGCAACCTGTGCCAGTGCTTCACCATCCTTATTGTAAAAAATCTTTATCCTTATATTCAGTCTAAAATTAAATAATGCAATACTAAACCAAATTTCTCCAATAAATAAAGAATAGCACTGTTAGGATCACTTTCCACATTATTCTGTGGTTGAACCACTGTGTCTACAACAGTATTTCTTTACTGACTGTTGGGTCCAAGGCATCATTTCTGAGGCAGGAGATGGAGATTCTTGTTCATGTAGCATGGAGAACTTCAGCAGGTGACTTGAGGGGAGACAGGAGACCTTCTCACCTCTTCTCCCAGCTGGGGCATGTTGCTTCCTTACTCCTTGCCTCAGTTTCCCCAGCTGCAGGACAGGAACATTCCTCAGCACCATCTGCAGAGTGCTCCCACAGTCCCCCTCTGGTGTGTGAAGACTCGGAAGTTTGGGTTCGCAGAGGATTTGTTTGATCTAGAAATAGCAGGGTTAGAAAATTCCATCTGCTGGCTCTCGGGAGCCCTCGACAGTGGAAGAATTTGGCTGCATCTTGAGCCTTGGGCCGTATCATTACCTCCCAGGGCAGCAGCAAGGCAAGCGCTTAGCAAACCAGAGCTGCTTGGCGCCCATCCTAAGAAGCAGCAGGAACAAAAAAACATTCCAGGAAAGCAAAATGTGGAGAACAGAGCAAATCATGTTGCATTTCTTGTTCCTGTGCTCATGGTTGTTCACACTCCAGGCCCAGTCCATGGGGTCAGAGCCTCCAGTGCAAACCTTGGGGTGTGATTTGGTGTCTCCATGTAAAAGTGCTGCAAAACTGAGCTGAGACCAGACTCTTGTCTGGTGTCATGCCAATGTCTTGTGGCATGATTCGTCCTCCTTGAATTTTACCTCTGTAAATGAGAGGGCTGTGGGGCAGCACAGGGATTTAGGTAGGTTTGCTGTAGGTTGGGCTCTCAATGAAGGTTACGAGCCTGGTGCAGATAAGGGATGCAGGTTTGCAGAAAGGATGAGCCCATTCTCTGCTACTCAAGGGTAAGGGCCCATCGTCCCCCAGCATGATGCCCTTTGTGTCCGGGTGCTTTCCCCATTGCTCTCAGCCCTAGGTGTCTGCCAGCCCAGGCAGTACAATTATATACAATTACCACCTGCCTTTAATGATGCCTGGAGGGCTGAGGAACTCCAATGATGCCAGGGAGCTCAGACTGAGACCTCACTGCAAGGCAAGCTGAGCACAAAATGGTTCCTCTTCCTCTCCAGCTGTCCAGGTCTTCTAATAAATGCATGGTTTTCTCCGAAAGCTTTTGAAGGTTTATTTATAAAAGAGTCTGCATTTGATTTAAGCATTTGTTTTGCTTTGTTTTTCAAAAGGGACTTAAAAGGGACATCAGCCTGTAAATATAAATATTCCCATTCTTTTTTTGATTATTTGCATTTTTCTAGGTTCAGTAATGAAAGATATTTCAGCATCCCCTGTTCCCGCATTCAGCCCAGATGCCTGAGCCCATGGCATGTGAGCAAGCAGCTAGCACAAGTTGAGCACCTTTCTGTGTGCCTAGGTGGCTTCCATGGTGTATTGTATTCATTATTAGTTACCCAAGAACTTCCCATCTTGAAACAGGCAACAAATGTGTTGTTGGGATGTTAACTTACAGCTATGTGGTTTTTATTCCCCCTTCTTCCTGCAGGTTATAACTGAGTAGCCCTTATGACCAACATGAGCTGGAGCTTTCTCACCCGCCTGCTAGAAGAGATCCACAACCACTCCACTTTCGTGGGGAAGGTCTGGCTCACCGTGCTCATCGTCTTCCGCATCGTCCTGACGGCGGTCGGTGGAGAATCCATCTACTCTGATGAGCAAAGCAAGTTCACTTGCAACACCAAGCAGCCTGGCTGTGACAACGTCTGTTACGATGCCTTCGCCCCGCTGTCACACGTTAGGTTTTGGGTCTTCCAGATCATCATGATATCCACACCTTCAGTCATGTACCTGGGCTACGCCATCCACCGAATCGCCCGGTCAGCGGAGGAGGAGAAGAAGTTCAAGGGCTTCAAGAAGAAGAAGCAGTTTGCTTTGAACTGGCAGGCGGTGCGCAACATGGAGGATGCGATGGAGGCGGATGAAGAGGAGCCCATGATCTCTGACGACACAGCAGAAAATGAGAAAGCCAAAGCCAAGCCCAAGAGCAAAGAGCAGCAAAAGCACGATGGAAGGAGGCGAATTCAGCAGGAAGGACTGATGAAAATCTACGTCTTCCAGCTGCTTACCAGAGCTTCGTTTGAAGTTTGTTTTTTGATAGGGCAGTATTTGCTCTATGGTTTTGAGGTAGAAGCTTATTTTGTCTGCAACAGACTGCCTTGTCCTCACACGGTGGACTGCTTTGTGTCCCGGCCAACAGAGAAGACAATCTTTTTGCTGGTGATGTATGTGGTGAGCTGTCTGTGCTTGCTGCTGAACATGTGTGAGATGTTCCATCTGGGCTTCGGGACCATCCGAGATGCCATCCGCAACCGGAAAATCAACAGCTTCAGGCAGCCCCCCTACAACTACGCCTACCCTAAAAACATCTCCTGCCCCCCCGAGTACAACCTGGTGGTGAAATCGGAGAAGTCCACCAAGATCCCCAACAGCCTGATGGCTCACGAGCAGAACTTGGCTAACGTTGCGCAGGAGCAGCAGTGCACCAGCCCGGATGAGAACATCCCAGCGGACTTGTCCACCCTCCACAAACACCTGCGAGTGGCCCAGGAGCAGCTGGACATAGCATTTCAGAGCTATGGCAGCAGCCAGGGCAACGCGCAGCCCTCCCGGACCAGCAGCCCTGCCTCGGGTGGCACAGTGGTAGAGCAAAATAGGGCTAACACCGCCCAGGAGAAGCAAAGCGCTAAGCCCAAAGCGTCCTTGGAGAAAGGCAGCTCCAGCAGTAAGGATGGAAAGACGTCTGTGTGGATATAGCTTGTCTGGCAGCAGAGAGGGCAGTGTAAATGGGGTTTTATTTTGGGTTCTGGTTTTCAGTATGTCAGTTTATTTCACAGGGCACAGACACATTTTTTCTGTGGAAGTCAAGAGAGAAAAGGAATTTCAGACCAATTTAGTACTGTCTTCCGGTGCATTAACAAAAGACATTTCCTTCCTCTTTCCAACACGTTCTCCAGCCGGGAACCTCCAGTGAGTGACGGCGACTGCTGCATCCCGCCGAGGCTGGACAGCCCGCTGTGATGGAAGCAGAGAGCAGCTTCCACACACAGAGCTGCAGTCAGACGGCCTTTAATTACTAAATATCCTTAATCAAAATTAATTTCCGATTCCATGATTAGAAAGGAAAGTGACTGATATGTCGATGAACTTTCACGGCACGCTCCCAGCTAACGTCTCGCCGGAATTTTTCAGCGCACAGCAGGCAGCACTGGAAGTGAAGGCAGCAGAGGTGCACGCATAGCACAGCACTGATGGTTTTCATCTTTTATTCTGTGCAGAAACAAAAAGCAAATACGGCCAAACACTCCGCAGTGTGAGTTGGCAGTGACATTGCTGCTCGTACTGGTGCCTGTGTAGCGCTTGCTACAGATGGGAATCACTGCAATTACAGTGTTTTTAACAAACTGCTGCTTCACATCATCAGAAAGTGCCTTTTTGCAACCAGGAAAACAAAGTCATAAAGGGTGTTGACTTCTTCATGTGCTAAATTTGAGTAAAGATGGGAAGATCAGTGTTGGCAGATTTGTTTTTCTGTTTAATCAGACTGTTATACATAGTGGCAGACAGCAGACCTATGCATAGCGCGTATACGATGCGTGTGTGTGTACACGTCAGTATATATATGGACACATGAACATGTGTGTGTGAATATAGATACATAGATATATATATATAAATGTGATATCAACCCTCTGGTAATTTTACAGCCTTCCACTTTCCCTGGGAAAACTTGCTGGATCCAGAAGGAGTGTCAGTGGAAAACGGGCAGGTTTCCATACACTTGCTAGGGAGCTCAGCAGAAGACCTGGGGGACAGGACCCAGGGCAGCAGCAAGAAGGTTGCTCCTGACGTATGGAGAGATTTTGTTGGCTTTGCTTGGTTTTAAGGCAGTCTCCTTGCAGTTGCAGAGCTCCAAGGCTCCTGCTGGTGCTGGATGTGCTTTGGTGGGTGGTTTCATCCTGGAGCTGAGGCGTTCTTGAGATGCTTGTGGTGATTCACCACCATGGAAGCAAAGTAGGCAGAGCCTTCCAGATCAAACTTTACAAGGAAGAATTAAATCCTTACAGAACACAACATCATTCCTGTGCTGAGCTGCTCCCTTACAGCCATGCCAGCACACACAAGCCCTCATGCCACTATTCCTTTCATGTTACTTCTTGATAGGCTTACTCATGACCCTTAGATCAGTCTTTGGAAGCCTTGAGGCTATCTGTTCTCCCCAGCCATTACGAAAGCTGTGCACTGCCCCCAGAGAACAGCACAGGTAGCAAATACTAGGTTTTAAAAGATGCAAATAAATGTTCTATGAGGTATCCAGCTGCAAATATTTGGTATGGCTTTGAGTAACAGTCTGGAGACAGCTCCAGGCTTGTTCCCGATCCCGCAGGAGGCACTGCCTGGAGCGCTGCCTGCTCTTGCTGCTGGAGTTGTTCTCTTTGGATAAAGGCAACTGCATCCCACAGGAGGCTCAGTGCATCATGCAGCAGCACTGGTCTGTAGCAGCACACACACATCGCGTGCAGGGATGCTTTGTAATGTGAATTTTCCATGAAAGGCTCAAAAAATTCACAGCATGGTGATAGGACAAACATATCTGCCCACGCTGCTCCTTGTTCTACATATGGGTACCCACCCACTCAGGCAATGCAGGGAGACTGGGTGCTGCTGGCAGTGCTATCGTGAAGGAACAGACAGCCCAGGGCTTATTCCCTTGAAGATTTGGGGTGTTTGAAGACTGTCTTATCTCCTTTAGCTCTGCTGCAAGCCAAGAAACCCTACTTTCACCAGCCTGTCATTTCCATGCCATGGATCCAGCATGCCAAGAGGGATGGGCAGGCAGTCCTGCAGCAGATTTGCAGCCTCCTCCAGGCTGGTGTCACCAGCACATTTAATACGCACACACTGTTTTCCATAGTGGGAGTCAATAATTGCAGTATTGATGAGCACTAGAGCCGGGGCAGACACTTGGGTGTTCGATACTAGCTCTTCATCAGGCAGGATAACTGCTCACTCTGCCGTCCTCCCAGCCAGCCCTGCTCATCTGTAGGGCTTGAAAACTTTCTTGCATAAAATGCTTTGCAAATGAGGGCTGATCTCACTTTCCCATTTATTTTTTTTCCAACCTTTTTGACAGGGACTGAAGCACAAGGGCACGCTGCTGGTAGGACTACTTGATGCCAGAATCTTGTGGTGGGCTGCCAGGCTCCCATACACTCCTTATACCAAGAAGAAGCTGCCCTGTTCCTCCAGCCACCAGCATGAGTCAGATAGCCCTATAAATATGGAGGTTTATTATTATAATTAGATATATCGAATTGCTCACTTCCCCCTTTCCTCCGCTGCTTGCCCTTTGGAGCTCTTAGGATGTTGTGTGCTCCACTGAGTCACCTCCACCACCAAGGCATCGATGTCTCCGCAGCAGTGACCTCTTCCAGAGCAGGAAGGGAAATCCCGTCTTTACTGTGTCTGTTAAGGCAGGAAAAGGATAGGAAGGTAAAGTATGCATAACCACAAGCAAAAGCCCTACCACAAACCAAATCGGCGGCTTGAGGAATTTCAAGCAGATGACAGGCAGCATCGGCCTTGGAAGAAATGCCAGTAGTATAATTAATGCTTTGCTTTCTTTTCTGCAGGTTAGTCATTTCGTTCACACTCCAGACGGGTTTAGCTCTGTAGCTGAACTAATCATAAATGTTGATTCTCTCGCTAAGCTTTGCTGGATAAAGTGCCCGCCCTTGCATTTCTGTTCTTACCATTCAGGGCCAGGAATGTCCCATGTAAAAGCCAGATTACCTTGTTGCTTGCATTGCATTCCACTGGAAAATACTTGAACTTAACTCAAGGCCATAACCAGTCTGTGCTGTTATGAAGTTTCTGGGATATTTTTTTTTTCGTTTTTTATGTACTAACTGTATTTGTACTAGAAAATTTTTGAGTATGAGGTTGAATCTCTCTAAGTATTTCTCAGTGTAAATGTTCCATCTGGACTGTAGTTAGGTTAAGCATTGGTCAAAAGAGAATGAAACATTAGCCCGACTCTTCAACCGGCTATTCCACGTCCATTACTAATAAAATGGAATAAAACTTACATTTTGTTACAGTGTGCAAAGTGTGTGATGTTTCCGTGAGAAGGAGGACGAGTGTTGATGAAAAGAAATTCTTCCCCATCTATTGTTTGCCTGCTTTGGCCATATAAGACCTCTATTTTCCCACATACAGCTATAAATCACTGCAAAATATTTTTGCCTTAAGAAGTAGTTGACCTTCTGGTTGTTTGGGATGTGTTGTCTCTCTGATGAATCACTGCCTGCAGTTCCTTCAGGCATGGAGCTGAAGCTGCCTAGGAAAGCCTGTGCTCTGAAAAGTGAAAAAACTTTGCTGAGTCCGGGAGAAGTTACGGCTGCAGCAGAGTAAACTATGGGACAGCCCTTTGAGAAAACCTGCCTTGCAAGAGAATCACAGAAACACAGAATCATTCAGGTTGGAAAAGACCCCTGACATCCCCAAGTCCAACAGCAACCCATCTGCACCACGCCCACTACCTGTGTCTCTCAGTGCCACATCTCCATCATTCTTAACACCTCGGTTTTCTTAAAGACCTCAGTTTCTACTCCTGCCATGAACGGACAGGCACATTCACTCACCACCTCTGTCCAAAGAGGCTTCTGCAAGCCTCTGGGTGATTTCCCTCCATTCCTCTGGCAGTTGCTGTGTCTCCAGGATTCCACTGGCTCCTACCAAGAGGCAGAGAATAACGGGACTCTGCTGGGAGTCCAGGGGGAAGGTCCACAGCCACGAGTGCCTCAGTGCTACAGAAACCAAATGAAAAAAAAAATTGCTAATTAACAAGGTGTCCTTAAACGAGCAAGTTCTGGGAAATAGGGGGAATTCATCCTTGCTGTTGGGTGCTGGGTTGATGTCAAAGTGAAGCACACTTTGATGACTGAACTTAGCGGTGCTGCTGTGGCACTGACCCCTGCAGCCTTCATCTCATGTGAAGTTGACAGGGGAGGGTCTAGTGGGGATGAAAGAAAGGTTCTTCCCCTGGAACAGGCTGCCTAGGGCAGTGGAGCATTTAATGCACAGGTCAGGGGTTGAACAACTGTAGATCATGAGAGTTTGTGGATGACAACTTGTGCACCCCAGAGAAAGGCAGAAGAAAGTAAGCTAAGCTGTTTCTGAGGCTTGGACGTTCCCAAGGAGGTTTAGGGGGATGTCCCTCTGTTCTTGTAGGCCGCACCTCCAGTGCTGTGCTCAGGTATGGGCCCCCTGCTACGGGAAAGACATTGGAGCATGTCCAGAGAAGGGCAGCGGAGCTGTGAAGGGTCTGCAGCACAAGGCTAATGGGGAGTGGCTGAGGAAACTGGACTGTTCAGTTTGGAGGAGGCTACAACCTGAAAGCAGTTGGTAGCATGGTGGAAGTCTGTCTCTGAACCCAGGTAACAGTGATAGTAAAAGAGGGGTTTTGTCAGGGGAGGTTCAGGTTGGATATTAGGGACAATTTATTCTCTGAAAGAGTAATAATGCATTGGCACAGGCTGCCCAGGGAGGTGGAGGGGTCAGCATCCCTAGAGCTGTTCCAGAACCATGGAGATGTGGCACTGAGGGATGTGGTCAGCGGGGATGGTGGGGGTGGGATGGGGCTGGACTTGGGGATCTCAGAGGTCTTTTCCAACCGGAATGATTCTAGGTCCTCTTTGGGACAGGGCTTGGTCAGGAGCATTGCATTTTGTCACCCTGCCACCAACGCTGCACTGAGAGCTTTGAGTGCAGAGGAACGATGGATTTTCCCCACCTGCTCCACTCTCAGACCCTAGCTGCAGTGCTGCGATGGACTCAGGGACATGGAGAATTAAAACAAAGGCTTCCAGCTTCTTTTCCATTTTCACTTTTTTTTTTTTTTTTTTCCCTCTCGCCACTCCCACCAGCAGCCACCCCACGCCTAACACACGGACCCTCACGGCCCTGCTGTGGGGGCGTGGCCAGCCGGAAGGGGCGTGGTCAAGCAGAGGAGGGCGTGCTCTGCTCCCCAGCGCTCCTCCCCGCCGCGAGGTGGCGCCGACACACACAAGATGGCGGCAGAGGCGGCAGGAGCCGACGGGCGCCCCTGACAACCAGCCGCCATGTTGGTGAGGGCGGCGGCCGGCCTGCTCGGGCTGCGGCGGCTGTGGGGGCGCGGTGGGAGCGCGGACGGGGCCTGGCGTTGTTTCCCGCTGGGCCGGGCGCTGCTGAGCGTGCGGGGCGCCGAGGCGGCCGTTTTCCTGCAGGGGCTGCTCACCAACGACGTCACGCGGTTGGTTGCGGCCGGGGAGGGCCCCGCAGGGCCGCCGCGCGCGCTGTACGCGCATGCGCTCAACGTGCAGGGCCGCTGCCTGTACGACATCATCGTGTACAGGTGAGAGCGGGGGGAGGAGCTGGGCGAGAGCATTGCCGGGCCGGGGGGTGGAGGGGCAGGTAGTAGTGCCACCTTACAGCCACTGGGTTGGACTTGGGATCTTAGTGTTCTTATCCAACCTTTAAGGTTCTATGAGTGTTTTATTATTGGGTGCTGAGTGCTGTCCCTGGCATTTGCCGTATCTATGGATTCGGACCAGGATTGAGATAATAGAGCCTGTTTGAGTCGTAGAATCGTTTGAGTTGGAAGGGATCTCTGAAGGCCATCAGGTCCCAGACACCCACAGCTCCATCAGTGCTCACAGCCCCATCCCCTGAGCGTGGGTGTCTGCAGGGATGGGGCACCATGGCCTCTCTGGGCAGCCTGTGCTGGTTCTTCAGCACTCTTACTATAAAAAACCTTTCTTTGTATCCAGCTGAAGTCTCCCTTCTTTTATTGTACTTCCTCTGTTGGGGGTTTGGCTTTCCTGACTTTGTAGGTGTTGCTTTTTTTAGGCTTCATGAGAGTCAAGAAGAAGAGCCACACATCCTGCTGGAGTGTGACAGCAGCGTGCTGGACGCCATACAGAAACATCTGAAGCTGTACAAGATCCGGAGGAAAGTCAGCATCAGCCCTCGCCTGGACCTCTCATTGTGGGCTGTCGTCCCTGGGGAGCAGGCCGGGGACATCAGCAGCTCCCTCGCACAATATGCAGAGCGGGCTCTGGTTTTAACTCCTGACCCCAGGGCAGAAGTCATGGGCTGGAGACTGATTATAAAGGCGGGAGCAAATCTACCAGAGATTATCCCTGGAAGTCGTATTGAAAACATTCAGGATTACCACAGGCACAGGTATAAACAAGGTAAAGCCACGTCCTGTTTGATACTCTGTTGTTGGATTTGGGATAAGTAGATTTATTATCAGGATCTCATGATCAAACTGCATGCTCTGATATCGAGCAGTGGGATAAAAAGCCACAGGGGTGTGTGTTGGTGTGTTTAACTTTGTAATAACTGCAGGAATTGCTTGCTGCTTTGAGGATGCGAGTAATCCAGTGCTAACAGCTCTGCTTGTGACAGAATCAAGAACTATTCATTTGCTAAGAGAGAAATTTCAGTGGTTTGAGTCATTGTGATTATTTTGGAGTGATATACCATTTGTGTTTTCCTTGTTACTAAGGAAAGAGAATGAAACACTGCAGTGTACATTCCTAAAAATGTACTGCTGGATTTGCAGAGTTAACTCAGAGGCCAAGGCGTGTGTGTTTGATTTGAAAAGGAACTCAATCCTGAAGGCCTCTGCAGAGCTCCCATTGATCTTAATGTGTCCGTGCAGACAGGGGATTAAATTCATTAGCAGACTGAAAGAGGATGGTCCTCTGCTAATAAACAGTGATCACGACCTGAGTCCATCTGGTACAGAAAAACAAGCTGTTAATGGGTCAGAGTGGGCTGCAGTGTGGTGGTGTGCTGCCAGGAGTACCAACGCTCATCCTGTGTGACACTGCACAAACCTGGGTCCAGCACTGGTCACAAAAGGAGCACTCTAGCTTTAGCAAGGACACTTGGACCACTTGCTTTCATGAAAATAAGTCTGACTGACATTGAAGCCTACCCGTGGGATACCGGCGAAAACAATTTTTTTTCCGTTGACATTAAATGTTGATGTCTTTGTGTGGGAGTCTGTATCGCTCTGGGTGCTTTGCATTTCCACCAGTATGTCTGTGAAGTGCTATAAGTTTCACAAAATTAGGTTTCAGTGCAGGTTTTTCTAATTACATTTTAAAATAATCTTTGCTAACCCTGAGTGTTTATAGCTAGTGATCTTACTGTAGATAGATAATCTATAGATAGATAATCTATAAACACCTAGACCGGAGTACTGGCAAGATCATGGCTTCGCATTGCTTCTTCTCACCTCTGGCTTTATAACACAGAGGAAGAATACTCCAGAAATCTAAAATGCCAGAGATCTTACTGTATTTCCTCTCTTTCCCTAGGAATTCCTGAAGGTGTGAAAGATCTCCCTCCTGGAGTAGCCCTTCCACTGGAATCCAACCTGGCCTACATGAACGGCGTCAGCTTTACCAAAGGCTGTTACATTGGGCAGGAGCTAACAGCCAGGACCCACCACATGGGTGTCATTCGCAAGCGTTTGGTGCCCGTGCAGTTTTCAGTTCCTCTTCCTCAGGAGAGCATTCCTGAGGGTGCTGAAATCTTGACTGAAACAGGAAAGGCAGCTGGCAAGTTCCGGGCTGGAGGAGATGAACTTGGCATAGCTTTGCTGAGGTTGGCTAATATAAATGGACCACTCTGCCTAAATGTAGCAGGTGATAAAGTGAAGCTCACTGCAAGTATACCTGAGTGGTGGCCAAAAACTGCCAGCAAATAAATGAGGAACCACCACTTGCACATTTGCCTTATTGAGAATATATTTTGTGTGACAGGGTTTGAAAGGTGACTGCCTTCAGCTGTTGTTTGTGGTGTTGATGAAGGTGTATTAGCTGAATTCTGCAAGATGGGCTTAAACTGCAGGAGTGCCAACCAGCACCAAGTTGCTGTTACATGTTGTGGAGAGACCTTTACAGGGCAGGGTACGCAGGAGACAGCCTCGCTTTTATTTAGGGGATGTCAGGTCCTGCTGGGTTTGACTCCTGCTGAGTTTCACCGCTGTATGCACTGAAACCTTCTGTTCATGGTAACCCATCTGTGGTATTGTGTTTTTTATAGGAGAGCATGCTGAATTTACCTTCAATAGGATATATTGTTGCTATCTGAACTCAGGCTGAAGTGTTCATTGCAAAATATTTGTTGCATTGAGCTTCTCATTAAACTTGCTGATTGGGTGGGTGTTGTTTCCCAGCGCTGTAACTGCTAATTATGTTCAGGAAGAGGAATACCTTCTGCTTTCGGATCTGCTTTTAATATGTCACCCACAATGAGATATGTGGGAAGACTCACAAATGTCCTCTTCCTGTGCCCTGCTTCAGAGCCAGCAGAGGGAGCGCAGCCAGCAGCAGCCTACATCTGAGCTCCTCTGCCCTTGCTCACCTTGGCCATGCATGCTTCATTCACTCAGACAACTGTTTCAGAGAGGAAAGTGATATTTTACAGAAATGAAGTGCTTTAGGGCACTCCCAGCAGTGACTATTGTATTGGTGCACTGGTCCTTGGCTGAATAATCTGTTACTATGTTTATCCTACTGTGTTACTGATCAGATTACCAACAACAGTTGTTGTCTTGGCATCTTAGTGATTTGTGTGTGACTGCACAGTTACACAGGAGGAAAGATTCCTGCTGCTGTTTTAGTTACACAGTTGCAAATGAAGGTAATACCCAGGTGAAGGTGTTGTGTCTAGATGCACAAAGCAGTAGGACCGTAAATGGACCCTAACGTGAATTTTCTTGAAGACTTCAGCACGGCGGTAGTCTCTGGAGATGTCAGTGCCACCTTGCTTAGCCTGGTGTTCATGGCAGGATTTTCACTGTATTCATTTCTCTGGCCACTCCTGTTCTGCTGAGAGCGATCTGTACTTTCTCACACAAAACAAACTGTCCCCAGCTGAGGTTTTCTCACCCTCCCGTCCCCCTGTGGGTTTTCAGAACAACCCAAGACTTTGTTGTTGCTTTGCTGCTTTTTATTTTCTCGCTCGTGCTGCTCTTCTGCCTTCCAACTTGTTCCTGCTTCTGCAATCACTGCATCCCTCTCTGCTCCCCAAAGCCAGGCAGGTTCTGTGCTTACAAACCCTCTCAACTTGTGGTAATTTATAGGAGGCCAATTTATTTTTATATTACAATAAATCCCTTGTGTCCAGTCTGGTAATGGCATGGGTGGTGAGAAGGGGGTGATGAGAGAAAGTGAGCAGGTGACTGAAAAAGCTCTTGTATGTGTATTTGTAATAAAAAACATCCAAAGTGCATTTTGTTACTGTGAAGAGGAATTATCTGTGGAAAAATGCTTTTATTGTTTAAAACTGCTTATGCTTACTGTGAAACGAATCTGTGAAATATCTCATTAAAAGTTTATTGGATTGGTAATTTAAATGACTGGTCTGAGAGACTAGCTCTTGTTTGCCTTGTGGGGACAAACAACAGATGAGGTTTTAGTGTTGGTTGCTGACCAGAGAGATGTTCTACACTGCACTAACCTGTTCTGATGGGTTTGGGATTTCTAACAAACTCTCTGTGTTGGAAAAATAAAGTGCAGTTCTTCATGCTTTCAGAATCTTCTGAATGTTAGCCTGTGGTGATGCTGCTTTGTCAGAAGCAGCTTTTTCTCTCATCCATCCCCAGCGCAAAGCCTGCCCCAAATGGTGCTATGTCACAATGTACGTGCAGCCTGAATAGGCACAGCATTTATTCTGCTTGGGGAAGCCCTATACCTCATCTCTGGTGTGCACACATTTCTGAAACATTTGCAAGGCTTTTCCATTGCTAACAACTATTTTGTTGGGGTTTTGTTTGTTTCAGAGTGCAGGTAATAAATAAATATGTATGCCCAAAAAAACCACCCTTGGGTTGGGTTTTGGGTTGGTGTTGGGGGCTTGTAGGCCACTTCTGGAGGTGATGAGGGACAGGGAGAGAAGTCTGAGGGGCAGCCCCATCCCTACCAGCCTCATTTTTTAACGAGGTGCTCCATCACTACAGGCTTTGGGCTGAAAGGTCAGCATATCAGCTGCGCTGTGCCAGGTAGCACTCATAGTGGCATCCATGCTCCTTATGGACAAGCAGTGATAAATTTCATTCAGTTGAGGCACAGCTGAATGAAGCATGAAGAAATCAGCTGCTGAATGGAGAAGCTGTCAGGCAGAAGCCAGTCAAAAAGGAGATTAACCACAGCCCTCCCTGTCGGTTGCATGAGCTAAGAGGCTGAAATGGGACTTCTAGCAATAGATTTCAGCAGGAAGAAAGAAACATTGAGAATTAATCACTGAAGTGCCACTGCCTGCATGATCTGGTGTCTTTATAGGAAGGGGTTGCCTCACTGCAGACTGCCCATATTCTTCCCAAACTGCTTGCTCTGAATTGTCTAACCAAACATAGGCTGCAAGAAACGCCACGCAGTGCAGCCCAGGCTGAGAATGGGACACTTTTACTCCAAATTCACTGCTTTTCTTTGCTTTTCTCACCTGCTGCCCCAGTGTGCCCAGTTCAGCTGCATGCATTACCTCAGGGATGAGGTAAACCCACACGGGGTTGTTTGTCTCAGACCAAACACAGCTGAAAAATCTCAGCCAAAAAAAAAAAACCAAAAAAACAAACCCACAACAATTTGCTTTTGTAAACGTGTGTAGGGATTTGTTGTTGTGACTTTTAAGAATTGTGGCAGCTTTGTCTGTAAGAAGATTCTGGGCTCTGTGGGTGGAGAGGGGCTCCATGAGTGCCAGGAGGGGACAGCAAGAGAAGGGCTCTTATTTCTGACAAAAAAAAAAAAAAAATCTCAAAATCATTAAGGTTGGAAAAGACCACTAAGATGATCCAGTCCAAACGTCAGCCCATAAGCTTTGTAAGCACTCAGGTTCCTCCTAACCTCCAAAGCTAAGGGAATCACCTGGTTCTGCTGAAATCAATGGGATACTTTTTTTTTCTCCTTTCAATCGCAACAATTACAACGGTTCACCCTGTGACAGCAAGGAGGTAGGGGATGGGGAGATGTGGTTTTAGTGGGAAGCGCTGCCTCGTAGTAACAATAATCCGGAGGCGCTTTAAGCTGTATGTGCGTTCGGTCAGCAGATTCTCCTCAGGGCTCTGAGGGAGACGCGCTGAGGAGGCGGGAAAAGGCGCGCGCTCTGGGCGGGAAAAACGGGGGGAGGGGGAGGCGCTGAGCCCCGCCTGGTTTCGCGCTGCGGGGATAAAATGGTGGCGAGCAGCGCTCGCACCTCAGCCCTACGGCTCGGTGGGGCTGAGGTGAGGCTGCTGCTGTGCGCTGAGGAGGCGGACAGGGAGGGTGTGTGGGGATCCCCGAAAGCGAGGTTGGGTGTGAATAAAGTATTTGCAGGAGCACCAAATTGCTCCTGGCTGTTTCACAGCTGCTAAGCCCAGCTCTGTGTGCTCCCACCCAAGCAATGAGGGCGGTTTGGGTGTTATTGGGGCTGAGGGTGTAGGTGCTGCTGTGTGAGGTCGGTGTTGGAAGCGTGGCTTCTGCTGCGTTTTGGCTTCAAGCTTTTCTCAGCCATTTGTCTTTTATAAAGGCGGTCTTCTGTAACATGCTGTTCTCAAGCGAGCAGAAATAATTCATACTTCTTCTTATTATTATTTGTGTCTGGATTTCCTCTCTTTCCTCCCCCTCCTCCAGGCTCCTCCAGGTCAAAAGAGAGCAGAGTTTGCTGACAGGCTCTGTTTGAAGCTGTTGGGGTTTATCCGTATCCATAAGATGAGTGTCAGCACTGTTTGTGTTGCCATAACACTGGCGATGTTTGCACTGTTTCCTCAATCCCTCCTCAGAGTGTGGCTGGGGATCAAACTGCCTGAAACACTTGTATTCAGTCTGTGTTGCCAGCAACTTCGGTGCAAATGTGCTTTTCTGGAAGCCTGGCGGTGGCAGTGAGTGTGAAGCTTCCTATGCTGTGTCTGTGTGTGCTGAGGGCCTTAAACTTACCTGCAGCAGATGTGGAGAAGGACAGTTGCCTTCACTCTGTGCCAGCGCAGATCTATGGAGGGTAACCAAAGGGAGAGCAGCGATAATGTCAGCAAGGGCTGAGGGTTTTGGAAAGGATGGTTTCGTTTTCTATGGGCTATGGTGTCAGGAAGAATATATGGAATAACTTAATTAATATTTGGGGCAGGTTATGTGCTGTGGGAAGTTCTTCAGTGTATTTTAGCTGTGTTATCACTGGGAAGCGATGCATCTTGATGATGATGCAGGGGGCTGCAGCACCTCCCTACAAAGACAGGCTGAGGGAGCTGGGCTTGTTCAGCCTGGAGAACAGAAGGCTGCGGGGTGACCTCGTTGCAGCATTTCAGTACCTAAAGGGAGCCTACAAACAGGAGGGGAGTCAACTCTTGGAAAGGGGAGATAACAGCAGGACAAGGGGAAATGGTTTGAAGTTGAGCGAGGGAAGATTGAGGTTGGATGTCAGGGGGAAGTTCTTTACAGAGAGAGTGGTGAGGTGCTGGAACAGCTGCCCAGAGAGGCTGTGGATGCCCTGTCCATCCCTGGAGGTGTTCAAGGCCAGGTTGGATGGGGCCCTGGGCAGCCTGGGCTGGTATTAAATGTGGAGGTTGGTGGCCCTGACTGTAGAGGGGAGTTGGAGCTTCATGATCCTTGAGATCCCTTCCAACCCAAACCATTCTGTGAAAATGAGATGAGGTCACTGTAACTTAGTGAGAACACCCTGGGGACAGAGGAGATATTTAGGGATAAATAATATATATATATATATAATATATATATCATCCTTTCAAGATCTCTAGTTTTCAGTCTGTCTCATGAAGCTGTTCAGGAACTCAGAAGAGTTTTCTGATTTCTGCTGTAACACTTGTAGCTGTCATGGGAGCTTTCTCATATTCTATAAGATGGATTTTGGAGCATGGGAAGCGCCTCAGTGTTATTGTTCAGGATGAGCAATGTATGTTTTAAGGTTTAACTCGGCTGAAGGATAAACTGAGATTTTTGGAAAGATCTGCTAGCAGCTTGCTGGCGCCATGCTTTCCTTTTATTTCAGTTTCAAGACTTTGCAGTAATACTTGGCTGATGATGGATGACACATCCCAGCAACTGATCTGTTTTTGTATTATAGCAATCAACTTACCAGAATAGCTTTTTTATTATTATTTAAAGGTGAAAGAGGCTCTGATAGCCTTTTCTGTTGTCTGTATGGATTTCTTAATATTTAAACTATTAAAAATATTCAGACTTAATTTAAGCTATTCTTTTCCTAGGTCAGATGTTAGGAGGAATTTTTTCACACAGAGGGTGGTGAGGCACTGGAACAGGTTGCCCAAGGAGGCTGTGGATGCCCCATCCCTGCAGGCATTCAAGGCCAGGCTGGATGTGGCTCTGGGCAGCCTGGGCTGCTGGTTGGCAGCCCTGCACGTAGCACAGGGTTGGAACTGGATGAGTACAGTGGCCCTTTTCAACCCAGGGCCATTCTATGATTCTTTATTCTGTCATGGCACGTGGTGTGAGGGAAACACCAGTGTTCGTTATCTGTCTGAATTAAGGCATGGAGTTGTAGAAAAATAACTTATTTATTAAGGAAAAATGTGTAAAAGGTGATAATCCATATGCAACAGAGGTATTTGACTGAAAGTGGGAGGAGGTGGGTCAGATGCAGCGCTTGATCCTGCAGGAAAGCCTTTGACTGGAGTAGCCTTAACTTTTAACTCTTCTTGCAGGAAGCCGAGGGCTGCGTTTGCTCACGCTGTGCGAGTCTTCATAATTACTTGGCTGAGTGAGCCCAATAGGAATCCAACTGGCAGATGCATCATGAGCAGTGACAAAAGCATTCATTTAGGTGAGTTATCTTTCCATGTGGAGAAACCAAACCCCCAGGGGTACAAGAGGCAATAAGCTTGTTATAAGAACTCCTCTATTGTTCAATTGGAGCATTGTTACACCTTACAGCAATTAATATCTTCTTGCTGGGTGGTGCTTCCTGGTTACAACTGGAAGGGCTTGGAAGTATGTACCCCAGAAAGTGGTTGCTTAGAAGTTCCTTTTTCTGTAAGAAGAAGGTGCACACTTGCTGAAACAACCAGAATGCTTTTTCCCATTTGAGAAACAGTTCCCACCTAAAGGAGTTTATCTGCATTTGCTAGCAGTTCCTGCAAGCCTCTGTAAGAGGCTCTGAGGCCCCTGGGTCCCGTACTGTGCAGCTATTGCCCAGCTGAGGAAACTACAATTCCCATAGTACTTCCACATACTGGTCCTGCAGTGACATCAGACGTTACATGGCACAGACTGGTTGTAAAGCAAGAAGACCAAACATGTAAGCTCGGTGTTTCTTTCACTTCTGCAGCAGGGCCTTTGGCAGTGTGAAATGTTTGCTTGCTAGGGGCGGATTTTAGTTGTTGCAGAGCTATTTGGCAGGGCGTGTACTTGAGGTGACACTCAAGGGCGAGCAATCCGTGCCGTGCAGCTCTGGGACCTCTCTGTCCGGGAATAGCTCCGTGCAGAAGTCTCTCAGCGCCAGCGCTGACACTTTGTCTCTATGGACCGTTTCCACGCCAGCAGCCCGAAAACCGCTGCTGTTCTGCTGCGTTCGTCCCGCCGCTTGGACGGGTGGAGGAGGGACGCAGCCCGTAGCCTGGCAGCGCCGTACGTGCCGCCCCGGGGAGGTGAGCAGTGCGGGGCTGCCGGGCGGTGCCTGCGCTGCTTCCCGCCGCCCCACGGCTGCCCGCCTCGGGGGGGAAGGGCTGAGTAGCTTTGACTCGGCGGGAGCCGCTTCTCACCCCTGAGTGAGGTTTCCTGTGCGTTTTTGTTGGTCGGGAGAGGTGGTAGGTGTCCGTAAGGAAGCTGGAAAACAATCCAGAGAAGCGATTTTTGCAGTGCAGTGTTTGCTCAGGTTGCTATGATGCTGCACTTTGAAGCTCAGTCGTTTGTCGGTCCGGCAGTGCTCAGCCTCGCAGGAGGTTGTGTGCGATGAGTAGCTGAGAAACCTCCACACACAAACGCCTCTTAATGTGGACTTGCAGAGCTTTCTAGTGAGGGTCGTGTTGTGAGCCTCACAAAGTGGTTGGAAAACTTGAGGGTTCTTGCTTTTTGAAGATGTGGAAAAACTGAATAACAGGTAATAGTTCCCCCATTAATTTCTGCTGAGAGACAGTTTAAAGCTGTTGAACGGCACTGTGACCTGATGTGCTCAAGCCTGCAAACTTGAAGACATCTATTTCTTGCTTGGATTTCACAAGCTGGGGAAGTGACCAAATGGGAAACGCAGTTTTCTATCTCATATTAGTAGTCTAATGAAATTGAGATACAGGTATCTCAATTCTGATAATTTAAATATTTTTATTCGGCCCCAAGTGTTGGTTTATAACTTCAAAGTCTTTTATGGTAAAATGCTGAAATCATCAGTGACTTAATTATATGTTTGTTTAAAAATAACTCTAAAAACACTTCATATAGGAGATTAAATTATAGCTGATAATCCAACACATCTGAAAAATATTTCCTAACTTTAATTGAAATTTTGTATTCCTAAATGAAAAGGTTTACTGAGAGTATATTAGTACCAGTAGTATTTGAAGGGATACCATCTACATCTTGTGCTCTTATTTTTAATATATTTTGGCCACTTTGGGATTAGTTGCAATGATTAGAAGTTGGGATAAAAAGTCAGTTGTTTGCATGAAGGTTCCTTGTGTGTCTCTTCTTAAGTGTGCGTTTGTTTGCTGCATATTGTAGGGTCTTGGGCTGGTTGGTGATAAGAATAACAAGCTGCCTTCATAACACCTCAGCTGTCCCAGATTTGAACATTTTGATGATGATGTCTCACAGCTGAGTTGGGTTTTCTGTTTTTACAATTGACAGCTTGATATCAGTGTTTTGTGAAGAGCAGTTTTTCTTTAACTGGGGATGAGTGTTTTAAGTCTTCTACAAAGCAACCAGTCTTCAGACACCCCCAAGTAAGGCTGGGAGGCCTATGTTGTTGTATGCAGATGTACTTAGGAGTGGTGGGACTGCACTGTTTGAAGGGCTTGTGGCATTGGATCATGGTCCTGGTTTGCAGATCTTTAATGCTGTAGGATTGTTCTACATGCTGTCCTTTAGACTGAGGAAGAAGAACCTCACAAAGGTACTGGTGTGCTGTTCCAAGGATAATGCCTTCATAAAGCTGGAACTGGGGAGCAAACTGGAGATCTGTTCTACAACAGACTTTGGCTTGTGGCTTTGTAAAGCAGATAGGTCTAAATATAACAAGTCCAAAACAGATGTGCCAAAAAGAGAAGTGATGGTCTTTAGGCTTTGCAGGGGGTGCACCCATGTAACCTCATCTCTGGAACCTGTGTCAGTAGGGTGGGCTGTACATACACTGATAGTGCTCACTGTTGGCAAGGTTCATTTGGAGTTTCTAGTGTTAACTTAAAAAAAAAAAAAAAAAAAAAAAAGTATTAATTTGCAAAATGGGAAGATTAGCAGATACACTGGCGTGAAGGGTTGTGGGATTGCATGTCTGTTGGATATTGTGGGTTACGTTGCCGAGAAGTGTGTCACTCTTCTGGTAAGCTTTGGATCTATTACATGGGATGGGTTGAGAACAAGAAGCGGGTCGTCAGTTTTCCTTGCTAACAGGATAACTTCTTGCTATCAGGTATTGGGTTGTGGTCGCTCATTTTTTTTTGCTCGTGGCTCTTGGACAATGTCAGAAGGAAAAAAAAAAAAAAAAAAAACACAATAAAAATAACCTCCTACAACTTAAGGCTGTATAAAAATTCAGGACGTGGTAAAGTGCTCCATGAAAAAATCTGTCAGTTTAACAAAATACAAACTGGCAGTGCTTCTTTAACAAAAGCATTGCTTCCAACAAAGCTCTAACGTAGCACCCTCAGGTTGTGAACCCTAATGTGACTCCTGCACTGCTTTGAATGCTTCCTTTGGCTCGAAGTAGCGACTGTTTTGAGATGCAAATGGACCTTTGGGATTTCAGCTATCAACCGACCCTGTGAGAATCCCAGTTAAAAGGTCAGTCAAGATTAACAGTTTAGACACACTGACTGAACAAACCAGTGCAGGTGGTGCGAAGATATTACCAGGCATCTCTTCTGAAAGGAAGCTGTGTAAAGTTAGTGCCTGGGAGCAGTTGTATGCACCTGAATCACTTCAGTCTGAGCCTTCTGGCTTAGCTCAGCTTAAATACCGAGTGCACAATCTTCCTTCTTAGAGGGGCTGCAGGGCTTTCTGCAGAGCCAGGAGTTATGTTACTGCAGTCCTTCCCTTGGTGTGGGGCTGCTGTATTGTGTCAGCTGATGTGAGAGTAGCAAGCTCTGCTCTTTCAAGAGGCACAGGTACCTGCACACCTCCCACAGAACTGTTCTGCCAGACTTTGCTGTCAGTTTGAGCACGTTTCTCTCCTGCATGGTGATGGAAATGCTGTAAGAATCACAAGGAAACTGACAGTCAGGAGTGGGTGAACTAATTCATCGTGCTCTTAGTGCCTGTTTCCAACAGGGCCTTGGGAAAGAGAAGAGTGAAAACTTCTCTGTGTGCTGAATGAAATGTTGTAGCAGGTTTGTGGATGGACAACTGGTTAGGTAAACCCTTAGTTCCCCCATTCAGCCACAGTCGGGTGGGGGTATCATCTGACATAATATGATTACTTTAGAAGAGTAAATGCTGTGTGAAGTCTCAAGAATTGACCATGATATGACAGTCGCACGTCCTAGCTTTATTGTCTTGGCCTTTAGAACAGTCCCTTCCGCAGTCATTTAAAGTTCTGTGTCAGCTATGAAGAAATCCAACATTTTTGTATTGTGCAGACTGGCTGTGGGCAGTTTTACTGTACTCTGCAATGCAAGTGGCTCAATTTGGATAAATGGCATACATGCAAATTGCAGGAACTGAAGGAGCTGCTTTTCACTAATACCAGCGGAGGAGATTATTCTCTAATGTTTGTAAATGAGTTTCCTGCCTAACAAATATGAAATTGACAGGTCTGGTAATTGTTGTTTTTTTTTTCTTTCTGATTGTTTTTAAATAGGTTAAGTCTGCCCTTAAGAATCTGAATTTCTGCTTGGATGGCGATGCTGCATTCATCACAGAAGAGATCTTGCATGCTGGTAAGGAGGACACGGTCAAATCAACTACCACAGGTGGTCATTATAACTCACAGGTGGGTCCCAAAAGTGAGTTTGCTTAAGGAAACAAACACTTTTATATTATGTTGCTTTTTATAACTAATATTGAATATCTGCATATGAAACAAACAAAAGAATCCACCACCTAAAAGAAAAAAAGAATGCTACATTACAGCTGGAGCAGATCTCACTATTGCTTTGTGTCAGTGCAGGAGATGAAGCCCTGTTGGGGCAGTCAGCTCTTGCTCATTCAGGCTGACTTTGGGAGCCTCTTGTTTGTCAGACTTCCCACTGTGTGTGAAGAACAACTGCTGGAAATTACTTTGGGTAAAAACTCTTTGGCTATATGAAACAAATGAATTTAGGTGGTAGTGCTGAAAACAGAGAAACAAAAAAGAAATGCCCCAGAAACCAGTGAGTGTTCCTAATGGTAGTTGGGCTGTGAAGCCCCCTAAAAACAGGAAATGCTTGTCTAGCTAATAAATCAGAAAATACATTCAGTGTAAAAGTAATAATACTGTGCAGTGCTGTCACTTACTGGCATTACAAATAAGTTTGACTGCTGTTTATAAAAAGCATCTGTAACCAATTCTCTGTAACAGCATGTTCCTCCAGTTTTAGGATGAGTGGCTGTAAAAGGACTTTTTCCTGATTTAGGCCAAATGTTTTTGGTGGATGTTCAAGTTTATTTACTCCTCTGAGCTTCCCAGAAGTTAAAAGCCCTCTGTGTGCATTTGAAGACATCGTGTGACTTCATAACAGTGATAGATATCTTGTTAAAAAGCATAGGGGAAAAAAAGTACGCTCAGTTAGGCTTGGAGGGAGAGAGCTTAGTGTGTGCATATTTCTGCTTTGCAGAAGTGAATTGAAGCTGTGTCTTGTTATGCTTTGAAAGAAAAAATATCTGCTGAGATGGCCCATTTAGGTTTAGATATGGTCTTATTTAGTGGGAGCAGTGGTTTCTCATGACTTGCAGGGTGGAAAGAATGAAGTAGGAATCCAAGTGGAGACCATTAAGAGTTGCTATTTGGTTTTGTTAGAGACAGCGTTTTGTTTATTGATTTTTATTCTGTTTAAGATTGAAATTCTGAATGAAGTGCATCTGTGGCTCTGCAGGCAGCCCTTCCTTTGCAGAGCCTGCTAAGGAAGGTATCACTCTGAAATTCAGCCAAGGACTCTGAAAATAAAGCAAACTGTAGGAGACAGGACACTGCTTTACTCCTTTTTTACTGCAACTTGCTACTAGCTGGTATGTAAAGCACATAGCAGAGTTTCCCAGTTGTTTAGGAACTTTGTTGAACAAGATAGAAAGAGAACCTCCAGTGTTTTGGAAGTGCTAAGAGATGAGACAGTATCTAGGGTACATGAAGTACCTGCTCTGCTGAGCTTTAATCACATCATGCTGCACAGCTCGTAGTAGCAGTGACTAATGGCCCTGAAAATAATAGACAAATCTATTCGTTTCAGATCCTATTTTTAATCTATGCAAAAGTATTTTGTATTTTAGCCAAGGAACATGATTTATTTGTGTGTTGATTCCCCAGAGACTAAACAAGACCAGAGCCTGGTGTATTTGCTGATGCCACTAAATTATTACTAGAAATTTAGTCTTGGTGAGCTTGCTTTCTAAACTGTCACCTATGTGTTGATCATCAGCCCTTTGTAGAGGATAGTTTGGATACCGCACTTCTCATCTGCAAACATAAGACCTGCTGTGGACCTGAGCAGTGTCGTGCTGTGGGACAGAAAATGGATCTTTTCTCTGCTTACTGACACAGATATTAATAGTATATTTCTGTGTAATATTACAGAATATGTCCAGACTCTCTAGGGTAAAATAGGAGGAGAGAGAAAAATTAACTTGTTATTTTTTTTAAATAAATGAGACATGAGAGAGTGCAATGTTCTTCTAGGTTACAAAGACATAAATGACTTTCAGAGAAGCCTGTCAGTGACTCTAGAGAGACTTAACACACACCACTATGTTCAGGCAGTGTAAATTTCCCTTAAGCTTTTTTTTTCCTATTCACTTGTTAAGAGCTTTGGAGATACTTCTCCAACAGCAAATGCTGTCTCACAGAGTTGGCAATTCTGGCCATATGAATATGGCTCCAAGTGACAATGCAGTTTTTATCTTAGAAGCAGAAAAATGAGAGCTTAGTACAACAGTTTAAATGTTTTCAAACAAGGCACACTGCAGCATTGCTTGTTCCTTTCATTTTCTGTTTTTAACACTCTCCAGAATTTGAAGTACATGACTGGGATCTGTGTGCAGTTTCCAAAGGGGATTAGCAAGTGATTATTTAGATCCAGAACTAGTCTGACCATGCCAATGAAAGTTTTCTTCTTCTTTCTTTATTAACCTAGGAAAAAAAAAAAAATAGGATCTAGCACACTGTGCCTTCTCCAGCCATGTTTATAATGGAGGATTGTGAAGTTTATTTTATCCTCAGTCTTAAAAGAGGTCTTGTTCTCTATCCTCAGCAACCAGAGTCCAGCATGGCTTCTGAACATTACTGTTTTGGTGGAGCTGTTTTCTTACAGTGCATCCTGAATTCTTCCTGCTGCCAGTTGAGCACACAGAGCTGCTGCCAGCACATGTCCTAATTGTTTTCCATTAACTTCCTAATGCTGCACTCTTTTGTGTCTATCTGTACTGAGACCTGGACAGACAGACAAAGCTGCTTACTGAGAAGGGCTGTTAGAACAGTGACATGCACACCATGTCCTTTTTTTTTTTTTTTTGTCTTTTTTTAACTCTTGTTTTTATTGAAAATCCTTGACTAACACATCCAGATGAAGCTGGGGATGTCAGACAACCTCCAGGTGGTCTCATGGACACAGAAATCATCTTAGTGTATAAATACACTGGAACTTGCAGTAATTTAATCTGAGAGTTTCTTCCATTTTTTTTCCAGGCACTACTATCCATACATTAGTGGGCCATTAATGTAGCCCATTTTGGGGGCTGAAGGGGAAAGGGGAACTTCTGTTAACCATGTAAAGTTTACAAATGTCTCCCCCTGCTTACATGGGGTTCTTTGCAGGAATATCCTATGTTGTCAGAGATCCCAGCAGGGGTTATTTCTCTGCTCTCTTTGCTCAGAAGGGCTGCCTGTGGCAATTTCCAGCCATAGACTAGAAGACTCATCTTGTGAACTTGGGCGTGTGAACATCTGCAGTGTGAAATCTGTAGAGAATTCCTGTTGCTGTATAGTATAATATTCATTATTTACTTATTTTTTAGGAGTGTCAAATTAGGACTGTTTAAGGTAGGGAAGCAAGTTTTAAGGAAGGGAGTGAGTTTTAGATTGCATTCTGGTGATTCCCATGTTACATTTTCCTGAAAAATTACTTAGCTTAAGCTATAAAAGGGAGGTTTTACTTAGTTAACTTTACTGCTCATTGACCTAAACATCTAACACTTATTTTCACCTTTTCAACATAGGTAAACAGCAAGAAACAAAGAATGGACACTCAATTAATTTCCCCGTTATTAGGAGCAATTACCAACCCATCACCTCCGTTAGAATCTTCCTGTCTGCACAGTGACTGCTCAGCACATGGGGAAGTTGTTGGCACCAAAACACTTTTCCAAGACTGCACCAAAAAACAGTATGTGGTTGTGTGTGTGTGTGTGTGTATATATATATACAAACTTAAAAAATTTTTGTAAGAATAATTTTTAGGGAATTAAATGGAAAACTGTTATGTGTAAATGAAAAGCTGTTAAAGACAAAGCCTTCCCTTCCTCCCTCCCTTCCCTCAGTGCTTCACCTCCCGATGGCCCTGCTGATGGAGCAGTGTGTCATGGGATGCGAGCAGCAGGTCAGGTGGAAGCAGCACCCCTCTGCTGCTGACAGCATCAATATGTGCAGTGCTGCTCTTGAACATCTGCCAGCCTGCTTAATGTGCCCTTGAAGTAATGCGCTCGAGTGTGAGTTTATATAAAATAAATAAATATCACTGTTGGATGCTGGCTGAATGCAAAGTTGTTTTTGACTTGCACAATGTGTTAATGTGAGTGATGTATTAAGAACAAGTAAGTGACCTTAAATGTCAGCTAAAATTAGGTAGTTCTTGTTTTCTTGGCATAGGAGGTCAATGTTCTTACATTCTTTTGTGTGCTAAAGGCTTTGTTTCCCCCTTAATTAAAACAGGTAAATTTGAAGTGCTTTCTAAGGAGGGGAGGATTGTTGAGTTCCCATGAAATTTAACACTTTCCCATCTTCACTCTTCTTGGATTCTCAATCCTAACTATTTTACCTTCTCAGCCCTCCATGGGACTTATATGAAGTCCTCTATAGTAACCTCTGAAATCTTAATTATTTAGCATTCTCTGGAAATATAAATACATCACTTTGAGCCTTATCAAGGAGTAAAGATGATCATGAATTACATGAGCATTGTGACAAGCAGGGAATGACTGCTTCACAGTACAGAAACTACAGTAACCTCCAAAATAATTTTCTCCTTCAAATATATTCTTTATGGCTGTACTGTGTACAGCAGTTAAAATTATAATGTAGACATTATTGCAGCTTTAGAAATACATAAAACATAATTTAAGCTTCCTGCTATCTTTTTTTTCCTGATACCACATGATGGCAATATAATACTGCCTTGTTTGTAGGATTGGTTGGCTGGTGCAGATTGGCATGGTAACTTTCCATTCTTGCTACCCATGCTGCTGTTGCTAGCATTTCCAGTGTCAGACATCTACTATTTAGTACCAGCAAATATCTCAACATGGTAGGTACCACAAGGATCATAGAGTCCAACCCCGGACTCTATACCAGATAACCCCAAAATCAAATCCTATGTCTGAGAGCACTGCCCAAATCTCCCTGAGCTCCAGCAGCTTGGGGCTGTACCCACCACCCTCTGGGGCAACACATTTCCTTCACCCCTGCCTGACCCACCCCTGACACAGCTCCACACAGTTCCTTTGTCCCTGCAGCTGTCACTTGAGAGCAGAGCTCAGTGCTGCCACTCTGCTCCTTATGAGCAGCTCTAGGGCCATGAGATCTCCCTTCAGTCTCCTCTTCTCTGGGCTGAACAAACCCAAGTTTTTCAGCTATTCCTCACACTCCTTACCCTCCAGACCATTCACTATCTTCATAGCCCTCTGTTGGGTGCCCTCTAACAGCTTCATATCCTTCTTGCATTGTGGTGCCCCAACTGCGCCAAGTGCTCAAGGTGAGGCTGCAGCACAAAGCATGCTGGGACATCCCCTCACTTGACAAGCAGTGCTGGGCCTGATGCCCCTCAGAGAATGGGATCACTTTTGGCCCAAGGACACACTGGTGGCTCAGATTCAACTTGCTGCCAACCAGGGCCCTGGATCCCTTTCTGTGGGGCTGGTCTCCAGCCTCTTGTCCCCTGGCCTGTAAATAGAGTCAAGGCTGCAGAATCCAGCACTGGGTCTTGTTTAAACTTCCTGTAGTTGGTGATTGCTCAGCCTTCTAATGTGTCAAGATCTCTCTGAAGGTCTCTCTACTGCTCTCAGACATAGAGTTTGATTTTTGGGTAGTCCTCTGTGGAACCAGGATTTGGACTCCATGATCCTTGTGAGTCCTTTCCAATTTCAGATGTTCTATCATTCTGTCTTCAAGGGAGTCAATAGTTCCTCACTTTTATTAATTACCAGTAAGAAAGAGGAAGTTTGATGTTGGGAAAGAGGGAACTTCAGAGGTTATTGAGATGCTGTAAGATAATAGTTAAAGAAGATGCACGTGTTACAAAGAAGTTAAAATGTGGAGAGGTCTTAAAATCTAGTGAGACATCAGCAGCTAATCTTCATTGTGGAAGAAATTAGAAAAGTGACAGTTTTAATTGTTTATCCCACAGCCCTGGTCTTTGTTAATCTGCAATATTAGCATGAATAATTCTGTAGCAAAACAAGCAGTGTAATTGTTTGGATGAGCTGACACCCGGGGAGGGCTGAGAGAGCTTCAGAGAGGCAGAAATGAATGAGCTGAACAAGAACAGGCAGAGTGAAATTTGTTGAAGCAACATATAGCATCTTAATTAGCGTGTTAAGTTTTAATTAGTTTCTGATATGAAGTTAAATGTCACTGCAGGCAGCTCTGTGAAAGTCTCATTTTGCACCCAAAGTAACAGATAGAAGTTGGGGTTATCTAAGGGAAGTGATAGTTGAATGCCTTTGATATTATCAGTAATAATTAAAGCTGTGACCAATCTTTTTCTAAAAGCAGATTACAAAAGGGCTCAACTGATTCTTAATAAAGAAAAAGTATAATAAGAATAAAAAGAATGAATTTAAAAGGTATTAAGATTAAAGTAACAGCTCTTCAATATCAAAATAGAATAAATTCAGAACCACAAGATTTTGAGAAGATCATATTTACACTACAAAGGAGGCAGTCAGGATGTGAAGAACTATTGCACTCTGTTAAATAGCAGCATTGATTGGAGGCAGGAAAATCTTTTGGTTCTTCTGTTTCCACATAGCAGCAAGAGAAACGTTCTGGGGAGCAAGAAGTTAGAAATGCTAAAGGAATTTTCTACTCGTTTTAGGCTGTAGAAGTCACAAATGCACTGCTGATATGAATGGAAGGTTAAATTAATGCTTTACCTTTAGTATTTAGAAGGAAAAAAAGATTTACTTACCTATGCTTTTGTTGTTTTTATTTTCCAGGGCACAGATAAATTTTTCTTATTCTGGCAATGGCCCCGATATGTTTGGCCTGGTGTCGAGCATCCTAGAGGAGCCAAACAAGGCAGAACCAGCTACAGATTGGTCAGTTTATTCTAAAAATTCTTACGTTGGGTGTCACTTCTACATCCTGTTGTCACCCATGTGTATGTTTACAATGATTGCACAGAATTGAGAGATAATGGACTTTCTTATAAAGAAAAGTGAAAACATTTTTAACTAGAAGTAGCCTGTTAGAAATGCAGCAGTTTCAGTCTTCCATTGGGTCACAGCACTGGGGGGGTGGGGGGGGAATGTTTAAAAGCAATCATTAGAGAGTTGTCTATAAGTCATCACATGCAAAATAGTTGAAATCTACAGTTCTGAATGTGTATACCATAAACATTAGAGAACAGCAGTGGCAGTCAGATTCCATTTAGCATTTAATTAACTGCAGTAGAGATTTCCTCCCCTTAAATTTTGTAGGAGAGGTGGGTACCCTGAGCCAAGAACGTAAGGGGAAATGTTTCAGGGGGAGAAGATAACCCTGAGATGTCAACTGTTGTAATGTTTAAAAATGCACTGTTGCTGGAGGTTTGTTAATTTTGTTACAGGAATTCACTTTCAAGATTGTTTCCACCATTGTGGGCTTCTGATTTAGGAAACAACAGTGAATTCTCAGGGCTTTCATCTGAGCACTCTGTAGACAATGAGGATTTGATGTGCACACAGAACTGCTACCGAGAGCAGCTGCTCCAGTCGCACAACGTGGAGGTGCTGCACAGAGGTTTAGAAGATCTTTATCTGATCCAGTCTTGGCTTTCTCCATCTGACCCCTGCACTCAGCCCGATAATGCTCTGAAAAATGGTTATCCTGCAAATTCCTCTTTAGAAAACAATAATTCCATTTTCCAAGAAAGGTGTGCGTTTCAAAGTGCAGATTATAATCAGCACTGGAGCAGATATGAGCAGCTGAGCTTAAATGAAGACTTTGAAAAAAATGGTTCTAGTTCTAGCACCTCTTCTCAAAGCAGAATGAAAGATAGCACTATCATTCAGAAAGGGTGTTGGAGAACTGAAAGAGCAAGAGGCAGTGTGCTGAAAAATGGTGTGTATGAACAAACTAAACATTCTCCTGAATTCTCTCTTCTTTCTAATCAGTCTACTGGTGATGAAATATCCCAGAACAGCCACTTCTTTTCTAAAAGTTGTGAAAACTTTACAGCTGCTCAGAAATCCCAGTCATCTGTTCATCCATCGCTGTATTTTTTCAGTGAACCAACGAAGGAAAGTTTTTCTAGAGTGACAAACGGAAAACCACAGGAAACCCATGTGCGAAATGGTCATCAAAACTTTACTTTAGGAGATGTTTTTAATAATAATAATGAATGTAAGAACCACGTTAGTCCTGAAGAGTACACTCATAAAATTTCTGAGTTTGATTTGTCAGTAAAAAATATACAAAATGGGAATTACTTGTTGTACCATGGACATACGTGGCTGGATGGGAAATCTGCAAGTCCAACAGTTGCATCAGATGTTGTGTTTGGAAAGCAAGTGGTAATGAGCACACAGTCATCACCTGGAGCTTCAACCACATCTGGGGCCTCCTCCCCACATCACCCTATGGCATATCCCTCCTACTACTCACAGACCTCACCAATCCTCCCATTGGGAAAAGATGGAAGGTTACAAATATCAAATAGTATTTCTAACAGTTTGGGAGTTTCTAATTTTATCTCAGACATTCAGAAGCGAATGAGCCCCTTTGGACACTCACAGCATGATTCTTTGACTAGTAAAGAGGGGCAGCAGTGCAAATTCCCTGTTAAATTTTCATCCAGCTGGTTAACACAGCAGAATGTTGTCAGTGAAGACTCTGAAAGGTGCCACAGGTTTCAAAAAAAGCAAACCCAGGAAAACAGTAATAAAGGTGACAGAAGAAGCAGAAGGAACTGGATCCCTCATTTTGGATATGCAACCCCAAACTTCCAGCAGTACAACATACTCCAAAAGAGCCATGAACAGAATGGCAGTATCATGTCAGATTTTACCAATCCTTCTTTTCTTCCTTCCTTCCCATTCACGTCTGATTTTAAGCAGACTCCCAGCCTTTTTCCGTTTAATCCCCATCTGTTTTCATTAGCAAAGAACTTCAGTTTTCCTCCTTCACCTTTTCCATTCTCAGAACTTGTTGATCTTCTCCATTATGATGATTTTAACCGCTTGAATCCCTTCATCAGTGATCTCTTTCGTGGGGAAGTAACTGCTCCATACTTTGCCTTTCCAATGCCATTTAACAAGTGCAGACCTCCCAGGAGCCGCAGCGGACCTTCTAATGAGCTTCACACCCAACTGGAGGAGTGTTATGAGCAGTGGAGGGCTTTGGAGAAAGAGAGGAAAAAGGTAAAGCATTGATGATAATAACTTTTTGTCAAAGCTAGCGATCACATTAAACACCCTATAGGGAATGGATACTCTGGCATTCCTCTTCTTTTGAGGTGGAGCCACTTCAGTTAGTTTTAAGTACTTAAAACAGCATCCCAAAAAAATCTGCTTTGAATGTAATCATAGAATCACAGAATGGCCAGGGTTGGAAGGCACCTCAAGGATCATGAATCTCCAACCCAACTGCCACATGCACGGCCACCAACCTCCTCATTTAATACTAGGCCAGCTGCCCAGGGCCCCATCTAACCTGGCCTTGAACACCTCTAGGGACGGGGCATTATAATGTTTGTATTGTTTGGCATGACTGCTTTTAAACCATGTATGTGTCTTCCAGCTTTGATTTCTAAGTCTCTTTCCACTTAGGGCTGCTAACATTTTTCTGTATGAACCTGCAATATTTGCTACAACAAATCATAGAATCATAGAATGATAGAATGCCCTGGGTTGAAAAGGACCACAATGCTCATCCAGTTCCAACCCCCTGCTATGTGTAGGGTCACCAACCAGCAGCCCAGGCTGCCCAGAGCCACATCCAGCCTGACCTTGAATGCCTGCATGGATGGAGCATCCACAGCCTCCTTGGGCAACCTGTTCCAGTGCCTCACCACCCTCTGGCTGAAAAACTTCCTCCTAATATCCAACCTAAACCTCCCCTGTCTTAGTTTAAAATCATTCCCCCTTGTTCTATCAATACTGACCCTCATAAACAGCCATTCCCCCTCCTGTTTATACACTCCCTTCAAGTACTGGAAGGCCACAATGAGGTCTCCCTAGAGTCTTCCCTTCAAGCTAAACAAACCCAGTTCCTTCAACCTTTCCTCATAGGAAGTGCTTGGAAACACTCCTGTTTTGTGTTGTGACAAATACAGCCTGTTGGTGCAGAACTGGGACTTCAGTTGAGTCATTTGGGATGACTGAATTTGTCTTCATTTCATCAAGCACATTTGTGTTTGCCTGTGACCTGTCTTTTCTCCTAGTGTTTTCCTTTGTCTATGTGCTTGATTTTTGTAGTTAAGCACTAAACATGCAGATGGCTTCATTAGTGAGTATAAGCTGTTCTCAGTCCTGCAAATCAGCCTCCATAGCATGGTTCACATTCCTGCAGCCAAAACACTTTCTCCCCAAAGGGGATGACTGCATCCTGGTTGCCTGATAGGAACGTGCCAGATCTGCCTTCGTTGCTGTTTGTGGGTATTGTTTGGGAGAACACTGGTTGGCAGGGATTAAAACTTTGTGAGGAGCTGTTCTAACAGTCTGAAGTGCCCAAGGACAGCACTGAGGCCTCTGTGTCAGTGCTGTTTAGCTCATTAGTGTATGTGTAGCTCACCTTTACACAGGTACACAGGAGGAGATTTTAAGTTTCTCAGCCTGCATGCATTTCTGAAGTGGATCTTCCTCCAATGAAACTTGCATTTAATTCCAGCTTGTCTGATCAGTTGGCTGCTTCAGTTCCCAGAGAACTGTGTTGAACTTCAATGGCAGTGAGCTTGTTCCTTTCTCTGAAAATTTCACTCTTCAAGGGATCTGTTACTTAGGAACAACTGTGATTTTGTACTAGGTGAGGGCTGGGATGTAGTAATAAGTTTGTCAGTAAAGCAGAAAGGCAGCACATATTTCAATATAGGTGTGGACTTAGCCTTAGCTTGAACAGCAGCATGATATCTAATCTCAATCCATTGTACACTGAAGAAGGACCAAGACAGAATCCACTGCTCACTCTGCCTTCTTTTATTCCAGGTTTAAGAAGTTTCTATGCAAAAAATAGTCACAGTGGTGCTCTGTCACTGCTTGTGTTACACCATGTGTTGGCTGGTTTCTTTCTCACTGGGGAGCTTAGCAGTTGTGCTGATGACTTTCTGAGCTGATACCAGATTATGTTAAATGTGTTTTATTCCTGATGTCCTTCTGTTGCACCTGTTTCATTTAATCAATAATCCAAACATGTAACATTTGAGAGATGCAGTGAGAGACATGGATTTAAATGCCTGGGATACGCTGCAAGAAATTCTTTGCCTCAGATTGTGTCCTAGGTTAGTTAAAATGAAGTTGTACAGATTTGAGTGCTGTCTAAAAGCATTTCCGCTAAAGTAGAGCTGAATTAAGGAAATATTCCTATCCTACAGCACCTGGTTGTATATCTAAAAAGATACTTGGGAGCATTTTACTGTTATCACAGACAGAAGTAAAGGTAGAAAACTCTTCTATTCTATTTGAAAATTTGTAAGCAAATGAAAGCATGGATTTTCATAGTAATTTTAAACTATAATATTATTTCCATTTCCCCTTCAGACTGAGGCTGACCTTGCAAGGAACTTTCCAGGAAGGCGTGTTTCTAGTTCCAATAACACTCCTGTGTCTCAGCTCCCTGCCCACCCATCACGAGTGGATCGTCTGATTGTAGACCAGCTCCGAGAACAGGCCAGGGTGAGTTTTCCAGAAGGGAGTCACAGCACCAGGTGAAATACTTTGCTTCTTCTTTGTTTTCTGTTGTTTTGGTCTAATAGAGTTGCAAATACATGGTGATTTTTGGTATTTTCAATGTGTCTGGTAGGTGCTCACCTTAATAGGGAAAATGGAAATGCTTTGTGGTGCCCCTGTGCACAGTAATGTATCTGCTGCCTTGAAACACCACATGGAAGCCATCCACGTAACGCAGGCACGGCGTAAGAATGAGGTTGTTAATGCTGTTAATCCACAGAGACAAGGAGTGTTGCGTTACAACAGTGAGAAAGGTAACTGCTTCCCATTCCAGCAGCTCCAAAAGCTTTTTTGAAGATTCAGTTGTGGAAAATATATAGCTAAGAAGTTGCAAATCTTACCTGCCGCTTGTGTAAAATTAAGCTTAAGGGATTTTTTCTTTGCTTTTACTACTTAAAACACTTTGAAGCCTTCTCTTCCTTATTAAAATGTAACTATAAAAACTGTTTGGTGATATTTTATAAAAATAAGTAGTCCTATAAATCAAAATGTTCTTGTTTTTAAACAAGTTTAATTTTATATCCGTGCTATTTGACTAGTCTTTCTTTTCAGCTTATAAAGTAATGAATGCTGTGCTTCTTCATAGTGTCTACATTATCTAAATCACAAAACTACCAGAAATTACACTTTCTAATTCCAAATTGCTGTTGAAGTAAGGCCAGATTAATTTGCAGCTGGAGTGTGTACTTCTCCAGAGGCTTGTGTGCTGTTCTGCAGTTTCACTGTCACCAAGCAAAACTGCTTCTTAATTAGACAACTTGATTCACAAATTTGTCATAAATCTGCTTTCTAATGCTGACTTTGAAAGTATGTTAATTGCTAGGAAGTTAACAAACTGTAGCTTGTTTTCTATTATAAATAGCTGTAGGAAAGGATTTGTTAGAAACTAAGCCACGTGATACAAAGCTGTGGAAACCAGCATGTTTTACATCTTCAGTTTTCCATGAGGTGGGCAAAGCTGGCTTCCTGAAAGTAATGCGTTAACTGGAAGAAATGTGCTTAGTTCATAGCAGCACGGTCTGCCATAGATTTTTGTTTCAGAACCAACACAACCAGAGCAACTGCATTCCTTTCCAAGAGTTGAGGATGAGTAGAAGCTGCTATTCAATACGATGATTGGACAGCTGATATCTTTTGGTATTTGGGTTTCGGAGAGGAAGATTATATTTTTGGAAGAAAACACTTCTCTCAGAAAATCTTTTTGAGAGGAATGTACCTCAGCCTCACTGTTGTCCTCAGCTGGATCCTTTCTCAGCACTGTTCTGCAATGTCTGATTTCCTGTCACTACAGCAGACATGACAGTGTATAGCTCTTTGGCATCCAGCAGTGTTTGAGATAGCCCTCCTTATAAGAAGGAAAATTGAACTGTAAAGTGTCAAAATGTTTTGCTTTGTCAAAGCAAAACACCTTCTTAATGATGTCATATCCTTAAATGTAGTAGTCCTATAAGCGAATCTATAAGCTGATGGCACAGCCAGAGCTTAGCTGTGAGTCAATGCTACCAGCAGGTAGACAACAGGCAGCAGGGATTGCATGGAGCTCATCTGGCTGCACCATGGTAGGTAGACTTATTATTATTGTTTAATATCATTATAGAGAGTCTCCTGTGATAACATCAGTAAAATAGGCTTAATTATTCTATTGAAGGGATGATGGATGGTTAGTCCAGTAAATTTTGAACACAGTTATGGTTGCTATTAATGTGAGATGTTATACCTATCAGTTGCAAGAGAAGAATAGCTGTTGGACTTCAACAGTTACGGTAACAGCACAAGATTAGCTGTTTCTTGATCAAACGTTGTGTACTAATGATGTTTTTATATATTATTATGAATCAGGCTCATGTACTAGCTTTACCCAGAAGGTATTTTTCTGTTGCAGATGTTCTGGCTCTGGCAGCTGCCATTAGAGAGCTGGCTGCTTCCACATGCAGGGCTCGCACTGCGTTATGGTGTGCATTACAGATGGCTTTGCCAAAACCTTCCCCAAGCAGCCTGGTAAAGCATGAAGCTGGAGGGACATCACAAGAGCTTTGTACTCTAAACACAAGCACACGAGGATCCAACAGCATGGAGAACAACAACACAAGAAGCAGAGAAGAAAAGCCTGAGGAACTCATGAGGATTCTGGAATGACAGCTAATAGTAATAATAATAATAAAGGGAGGCAGAAGGCCGAGGACGGGGGGAGAAGGGTGAAGTGGCCTGTTAAACTGACAGTGTTTTCCATTGGTTATCAGAAAGCAAGAAGGTTGCAATAATTGATCAGGGCTACAGTGCTGTTATTGTAATTCTTGTGTTGAGAGACACATCCCTTACTAGTGTTAATGCAGTGGTAATATTGCTGGTATTACAATGTCTGCTATGTTAGAATGTTAAGAGGAACTAAACAGTAGCTCAGCGTTTCCTTGTCTGCTTATCCAAAGCTACATATCGGCTGTGATTCAAGCCATGACCTGAGAAACCAGTGTAGTGAAACTTAATTCTCCTTTCTGTATTAATGGTATAGTCAAGCATACTGAAAAGAGGGGCAAAAAGTCATTTGAAAGGTATTTCATTCAGGTGTTGATTTGTTTTGCACCATTATGTAGTTCTTTTCAGTGCCAAAGTGATCAGTAAGTGGGTAGCATCCTGTCATAGAGCAATCCATGCTCTTGTGTTGTTTTTCAGTTGAGGAATTTGGGTTATTGCTATATTTGAGGATAATTAGCATTTAATGGTGGTTCTATGAGATGCTTCAGCATTTGTGCTGCCAGTTTCTAGCTAAACCAAGGTAGATTGAGCTTTCTTATGTCTTATACGAAGTATCAGCACGTCTTACATCTTAAATACAAGGATCTTGGAGACTTGCAATGAGTACTGCATTGAGATGCATGTTAACAGGAGACTGAAAAAAATTGTGGCTCAGGATTAGAAATGAGATTATTGATTTCTCACTGGGTTATATACCAGTAATTACACAGCAAAGTGTGCACTTCACTGAAAAATGCTCTGTGTTATTAGTGTTTGTTCATGGTACTACAGATCTTTGGAAACATTCCATATTTATTTTAATGTGTTTATTGAATGTTTATTTTAAATTCTATTTTAGTAATATAAAGTTGGATCTTTTGCCAAACCTACCAAATAATCATATTTAACAATTTACTCAGGAAATATGTCTATTCTTATATAAATATACACGTATACATAGGGATTTTTTTTTTTTTGGGGGGGGGGGGGGGGATGTTTGCAAGATATTTACACAAAGCTAGCTATATCCTAGGTTACCAAAGCTATTTAATGGTTTGTCTTCTGTGTGGAAGATTTCACGTATTGCACTGCTGTTACCTGGTGTCCATTCTGTGGCTTAGACAATCAGAAGTGCTGTGTGTTGGTGTGAATGTTCAGGGTGAAAATTAGAGCTGAATGAGTAATTCCAGTTTTCTTCTTATGGCACGTAAATATTTTAGTGCTTTAACAACTGTCTTAATGCAACACTACCACTTACATGTGACTGCTAACCAGCTGTGGCTCTTAGCTATTACTGTAGTAATGAATGGCTTTAGAGAGCAGTTGTCACTTGAAAAGTGAATTAAGCATAAGGGAAGTTATTGAGAGGTATAAATAGAGATGTATCTGTGTTCCATAGCGTTCAACATGAAGTTTGACCTTTTGTGGGTAAATCCAGAATCGTTTCCATATATATATGCACTTGCAGAATGTTCAAAAGCAAAAAACATGGGGCACTGGAGAGTGTTGCTTTGAGTGTGAGGGTTTTCTTTGTGCAGGCGCAGCATTTTGCACAAATCAAGATGGTGAAGTTGGCTTTTGAGAAACTGATTACCTGTATTACACATATGGAACAGTGGAGTCTGCAGTATTTCAGCCCATGGCTAATTTTTAATTGTGATTACTGTATTGACAGGAAGGCAGAGCTGGGAAGAACAGCTGTGGTCCTGCAGGAGTGCACTGTAGCAGTGTGTGTATAGAGCACGGTCCATCTTATTGTATTGCTGTGCATTAATCATTACTCTCAAGGGACGTGTTCTTAACTGATCCCTAATGTTATTAATGTGCCTTCGACAGTTTGTTTCTGAGCACAGTAAGTAACAGTATGCTCACCTCTGTTTTGCACTGCTGTTTAACTACCTGTTTACAAAGAGTTACAGCGTAGCTGCATCTGACTACAGCCAACAGCTGGGGTAGGCTGGTAGTGCTGTGCACCATTGCTGCAGAGAGCCACGATGCATGGGATGTGTATTTGCTGCACTGAATTATTGGTGTGGATAAGAATAATGCTCCTGGCTTTAGTTGCTGATCATACTCACATTTGCTGTCTTCAATGAAAGCAAAGATTTAGGCTGTTAGCTCACACTTAACATGGAGAGGTATCTTCATTTCACAGTCTGTATTTGTTTCTTGTTTATACTGTTTTCTTCCCATTTGTGAAGCAATAGGGTAAAATCACTTTGTTTTGTTTCCCTAAATAGCTCTACTGAGATTTAATTTATTTCTTTTCCTGGGCTGATTTTTGCAGTTTACATTTTTTGAATGAGTTGTAGTAGTGATAAAGATCTGTTTCCACATAAGGAAACAAGATGCTTCAAAGTCCCTCCTCAACTCCCAGTTATTGCTAAGTTAGGTGTTTTTTCATGTAGTGTGGTTCTGTTTTAAAATCCCAAATTGAGAGTCCAACACAAGATAAAATGTAAGAATCAGTTATTTCTGGGCACAGCAATAGCCATTGGATTCTTGTGATTTGGTCCTGCTGTTTCTCAGAAGAAGGCCCTGCATCAGAGCTAGGATGTCACTTCTGGAAGCAGGTTTGGCATCCCTACTTTTCTTCAGATTCCATAGATACCTCTGGAAATTAAATGAATCTGGTGGGATTTATATCAACTTACACTAAGTAGTTTGCATCACTTTGTCTCTGCTTTCCCTGGACAACATGCAGGGAGGCAGTCTGGGCTCGTGCTCTTTGTCTGGCTGTTTTCAGAAATATTTGGCAGACTGAATGGTTCCTGAGCTGCTCTTGTTGCTTTTTCTTCCCAGACTGAATGTTTTTCTTTGCTGTTGGTATTCACTGCTGCCATAAATCTCTCTACCTGGGTGTGCATCTTTTGGAGCTGATTTGCCTTGCAGCACAGAAGCTGTTCTGTAAGCTTCATGTAGGATATTGGATTTTGTTGTTGCCATGTTTGAACTGCTACAGAGGTTCTGCAACCAACAAACCTTAAGCCTGTATGAATTTCTTTAAAGCTTATTTTCTTACCTGTTCTGAGAGCTGACCTTATTTCATTCTATTCAAGAGTGATGATGTCAGTGCTGCTCAATGGAGCAACCTTAAGCAGTGGTATTTTGAGGATTTTGCTCTTAGCATCATTACTGCTCTGATGATGAATTTGGTTCTACTTTATGGCCCCACTATTCTGTGTTAACTTTGTAGTGTCATTACGGTGGAGAAAACTTCTTCAGGATTATTTAACTCTTAAAAACTATACACAATATGGGACAAGAATAATGAATATTGCACACTTGTGAATGTATGAGAGCAGTTGACTTTGGAATGCATATATTTAATTAATGTTATTTTTAAATAAGTGCACTAGGCTACTGAAGAGATGGGTATTGTGGCCCTGCTTCCACTAAGCCAGCAGCTTGGAACATTGACTATCAAGAAACTACAGCAAAGTGTGTTCCTGACCTTGGTTTGGTTTCTCTCTATGCTGACAAACATGGAATTAATAGGATTGTTTTCCTTCCTCTTAAAGCTGAGGAATGGACCCATAGCAGGAGCTTTGGCTGAATTAAATGTGTGGGTTTCTGAGGATTTTGCACCTTGTTTCTCTCCCACTTGTTTGGACAGAAATGAGCTGTAGCCATCAAGGCCTGGATTTATTTCTGGAGCAGTTCATTGCCACCAGCACTCCCTGTTGTTTTGGGAACGTGATATGAAATTAGGCATCCCTTACTATTTGTTATAGATCACTTTCTAATTAAAAAATAAAATAAAATCACTTTCCCAATCAATTTCAGTTACATAAAATGGGAGGTAATTATCTTTCTTCATTAGCAATACTGTAATCAGAGGTGCAAAAAATGTGTGTTGTCTGTGCTTTTAGAGACCAGAAATACCTGAGGTTGGGAGCAACTTGAAAAAATGTGGGCAAGTGGAGCTGTAAATCCTCTCTGCTTGTTTTCCTTTCTAATACTCATTTGGCAATTATCCACATACAGTCTCTCAGAAGAGGGTTAGAAAGGATGAAAAGTCAGCTTGCAATCCTTGCCAACAGGAAATTACTTTACATTTTTTTAATTGTATGAAATACAACCAGTTTAAAACTCATTTATGCACAGTAATAACTTACTGAGCATAGTTTTTTTTTCCACAAAATTAGGTTGTTTCCCATTAAATATGGGAAAAGTTTCCTTTTATTTTATATGACATATGCAAAGATGAACAGTGTCTGTATTTTAATATACTATTTGGTGTCTGAAGCATCTTTTACATGTTTGTTGTTCAGACTCATGTATTTAATAGCAAGTTTGACACTGCTGGTGTTGCACTGCAGGAGGTATTAAAGCTGATCCATTCAATAGATCCAACAGCAATATGTGAAAGTACAATTTAGCTATAATTGCTGGTGATACAACAGCCAAAGTTGATGAGAAGGTTTGTGTTATGTGTGTGAGAGTCTCAGAAAGGAGAGAAAGCTGTACTCAATAATGGCCAGTGTAGTTTATTAGAGTATTATGAATGTGATTGATTCCTTTTAAATAACCAGCTGTGTTGTATGCCTCCTTAATAAATAGTTATGGCTTGTTGCTTCATTTTGTTCAATCTGCACTATTTATCAGCTGCTGTCCTTCAAGAGAGTTCAACTTGTTTTGTCATTCTGCCTTGAAAAGATGTTGTGTGTTCTGCTTTAACACAGTTAAAAAAAACAAAACAATTAAAATCTTCACTTTTTATGACATTGATTTTATTATTTTGACACATTCTGTGGGTGAAGAAGGAGCAGTTTGGGTTTGTTTTTATTGTGCTTGGGCCTAAGGAATATCCTTTGAGCTGGATGCAGTGTTGTACAAGGCTGCTCATTGATGAGCTATAAGTGGCAACAGAACTCCTTCATGCTGGATGTCCTAAAAGATGCTGAAAGAAGGCAGTGCTTTGCAGATCACTGATGTGCAGAGCTGTACTTCCCCCCACCTCAGCAAGATGGATTTAGCTGGTATATGGAAACTCCAAAATCTGGGTTTGCACATTAACAGCGTGTCTATGTGCGCATTGGGTGGGCTCAACCATCAAAAACCAAAGTGTGTCACTGGTAAACGACAAACATTTAGCACACTCAGTCAGACACCCTTCTGCATACAATATCTAAGCAGTTTATAAGGGTTGAGGGTGATTTATCTCAGTAACACAAAGGTGTTATGCTGCAAGTTTGGCCAGTTGCTTTGGCTGACAGGGCCCGTGATTCCTCCACTAATTACAGATGGGTTATAAGCTGCCCCTTGTTAAATATGTTGTTGATGGAGTTAATCCTATCTTACACAGTGAATTTGTTACTGGTAGCAATTCAAGCATTGCACGGTTCTTGGGAGGATGAGTTTGTTTGTCTTGAGGTGTCTGGCATGAGGGGCATGCTATGTTACTGCTCAGAACTGAGAGCAGCAATGTCAGATGTGGAGAAAACAGGCCTTCTGAAGCACTGTTCTTGAGCATGTCCTTAGGGAAACGTGCCTCCACTGATGGCTCTCTCTGTGTTTACTCAGATACAGCCTGGTTGCTTTGATACTTGTTCCAAAACACCTGCAATGGAATAATTGCAACTGTTTTAGTATAACTATGCTGGCAACTTGCCTGCAAAGAAGACACTTGTGAAAACAGTCAAACATTTTCCTCCTAGCCCAGCCTATTTCCACCACCACAGCCTCAAATTAATCTGATAGTTTAGTTATCTTACATAGATTTTTAAATAATGCTAATTTATATATTTAATGGATAGTCTGATTTTTATTTTTTTATTTTTATTTTTTTTAATGAAGACATGTAGTTTGGTTATACTGTTGAGGTTTGAGTCATCACTGAATATCCCAGTTTGGAAGGAATCCATAAGGATTATCCAATCAAGTTCCCGGTTCTGATATAATTCTATATAAAAATGAAAATTGTTTTCATAGGGCTTGTTAACATTGCTGAGAAGACTTCTGATTCCAGCTGATGAATCGTGATGTGGATGGATACATAAATTTCAAGTGTATTGAGTAAGGAAACGCACAGCTCAGCAGGACAGCAGATGGGTGAGCTGGAGAGGAAACGTGAAGGTAGGGAGGTGTTTGGGAGGCACTGGGACATGCTGAGTCACTGGGAAAGGGCTGGAGACAGTTTGGGATAAGAAAATGAGATGGTTTTATCTATCTTTATGCCTCTTTCTCAACTGAAACCTCTATCAAGCAGAAGACGGACACATTTGACTAGCTTAAAGCATCTGACTAATCCCATTGACACCAGTGGTACTACTTAATCACTTAAATAGGTACTGCTTTTAAGTAACTTTGAAATGGTTTAAACTTCTCATGTTAATGACATCCCATAAGGAAACCAGCTGCTCATTTCTTCTGATAGTTTAGTATTTTCTAAATACTTCCATGCAACACCTTCTGCCCAGCTCTTGTCTGATCTCTCCAGATGACTGTGTGTGCTCCAGGATGTTGGCATATCTTTCATGAGCTTCACCACTTTCAGCAAAGAAGTTGTTCACAAACAGATGAGTACTTCATTATGATTAAATTCTATTTTATTCAATGTAAAAATCTTCTAACCTTGCAGTGAAAGGTGCTGCTCATGCTGAGTAGTCAGGAAATAGTTGGCAAGCTACTAGCACTTGGTGATGTTTGGTCACAGGAACCTGCTACGAACATGCTTCTGAATCTAGCCCTCATGGAAATGTCACTTCTCAGGAAGCAATACCACTAGGGTGGGAAGAAAAGGCAAAGAAACAAACTCAACCACCCAAAATACCTCTGCTCTTCAGGAATGCGTGTTTTCAGAAAAGGTGGAGTATTTACAAGTGAAGCTGTAACAGAAAAGGGAGGGATCAGAAAGAAGAAATACAAAGAAAACACCCATGGGAGACATGGTGCTTGCTTAACAGCAATGGAAACATTTTTGAGGAACAGTTTTATTTTTAGAAGTGTCTGTTTTCTACAGAGAATATTATTTATCAAGGACTGCATTGCTCTCACTGTAAAAGAAGAAATTAATCCAGTACCTGTGACTAGCAGCATCGCTGGGTTTTTTCTTCATGAAGAAAATAGTCTGTGGAGAAAGGTAGATCTTATAAATACCTTCATTCCCTTGATATCAAAGCTGAGCCATGCAACATTCAGGAAATATTAGACAACTTTCATGAACAGAATCATAGACTATCCTAAGTTGGAAGGGATCAAGTCCAACTCAGTGACATCTCATATGAACTGATGAGCCCATAGGATCACAAAATACCGTCACTTGGAACAGACTTCTGCAGTATCTGCTTCCACCCCTGCTCATAGCACAGCCAGTTTCATAGCTCAGGGTCTTGTCCACTCATGGACAAATTTGAACGGACATTACACATCCTCTCTGGGTGGTTGTTCCAATGCTGCACCACTCTCACAAGGAAGATATTCACTTTTCTCCTGTCCTGTTTAGGATTTCCTTGACTTCTGTTGGTTTTTCTGTGCCTCTGAGAAGTCTGGCAATATCTCCTATAGCTCTCTCCCTACCCTTTGGCTTCTGGTATGTGTCAGTAAAGCTTAAGAGGAATGTGAGGTCATGTAATGGAAAGTAGGTAATGATGAATGTCCCTTCAAAAGTTTATCAGCTGTACAGTGGGAGCAATTTGCAGTTGTGCTCTGTGACTGCATTTATAGGAAAGCTCAAGGTTAGTCATGCTTTCACCTGGAGCCTTAAGCAGGTGCCAGGGGGAAGAAGTTCAGTTCCATAGCACTTGTGAGGACAGAGGGTTTTGTCAAATCAGATGAGCTCTGCTGTGGGCACCAATTTGTTACTGAAAATTTGACTTTTGTAGAGTCTGCCATAGCCTTGGGTACATCAGATTTAGAGTTCCACAATCACAAATCTGAGAAGTCTGAAAAAATATATGAAGTTGTCAGAGAGAAAGGGTTAAAAATAATCCAATGGACAATGACAGCATAGGAAATGGCTGTGCAGGTGCAGTTCTGTGAAGGACTAGGGGATTACTAAGCACATTTGGGATCAGCAATGCCTGGCAGAATGGGATGTACAAAGGAATGGAGAGGCTGCAGTAATTCTTCTTTCCTTCCCCAGCACAGCAGTAATGGAACTGCGCCTGGTTTTGATCCTTAGTCTTCAAGCTTAGTGGATTTAATCCAATTAAGGGTAACAAATCATAGAATCATTCAGGTTGGAAAAGACCTCTAAATTTCCAAGTCCAGCCCATCCCCACCATGCCCACTGACCATGTCCCTTAATGCCAGATCTCCCATGGTCCTTGAACACCTCCAGGGCAGGTGACCACACGACCTCCCCGGGCTGCCTGTGCCACTGCATCACCACTCTTTCTGAGAAAGAAATTGTTCCTACTATCCAACCTGATAACTGATCCAATCAGTGGGTCAGAACCAGAGCTGCTGAAGACGAGCGAGAGTGACAGTCTGCATCTGTGTCAAGGGTTCCTGCCAGAATAGAAGGGCATGGAGTGTTTGTCTTGTTCAGGGCCTGCAAGGTTAATCACAGGACAAATGGTTCAGATCTACTGCCTAGAAAGAAGCTTATGTTAAAGATGCAAAAACTCTGAAAAAGATGGCTATATGAACCTTTTATAAGCTATTTTTGGAAACATTTAATACTAAGCATGTGTCACTTCTGTTTATTCTTCATTGCCTTTCCACAGACACACTGCCTTTTCTTCATTGTCAAGATATTTGAGTCAGTCTGTAAAAGTTGCTGAGAGATGTTCTCTTGTTTGCGCAGTCCTGAGCGCTGGCAGAGACAAGCTGCAAGGAGATGAGTGAAACCATGAGGCAAATGCTCCTGAATATACATCAAGGTGGCAGTAATTCAAACAGGGATCTTCTTCCCATTGGATAAATGTGTCAGATTTTTGGAGTTAAATCCAGTTTTGGTGCTTCCTTTTCAGACTGTAGGAAAGATTCTCCCAAGTAAAATGGTCACACATTTATTAACCAAAGTATGTTTAAAAGCTGTCCTTAAAACAAACACCTTTGAAATGCAACAGGTGAACCACAGTATTGGGTGCAGAGCTGGAAGCCCTTCCAACGATGTCTGATGTTTCTTTCCCTTTCCTGGAGGTGCCCAAGGCCATGGATGGGGCAGCCTAAGGTGCTGGGGAGGAACCAAAGTTACAAGTCGTTTGTAATAAAGCTTACTATGAGCCTTTGCCTCTGTCTTAAAGTAACACCTGGCGAGCAGCGTGGAGTAGGGCACTAACTTAGATGATGTGAGCTAAATGTGATTGGTTTGCCTATTCCCAAGAATTTTTTGTCTTACAATAAGGATGAGTAGAGAAGGACAGCACAGTGGTATTCATGCTCTTGAACTCTTCTGATATGTCTGACATAGTTTACAAATACTCTCTCAAAAACTGCGAGTAAATAGGTGGTCACTGATACTTCATACCAAAGCTGAGCTGCCATAGACTTTCTTTCCATTTGTTTCACCTTCCATGTCTGATGGTGGTTGGGATCTCCAGAAGAAAGCAGCTTGTACAGCTGCTATTTACGACTTTGGGTGGTTGTTCTGATGTTCCTGCACAGGCAGGTCAGGTGTGACTGGGATGATCTCTTTTAAAAGGAGTATAGAAACAAGAGCTAGAGACCTAAAGTAGGTAAAGACCCCTACGAGTGTTTCAAAGATGGTTTGGAAACCTGTCTTGCTCAAATATCCTGATCAGTGTGCAAGTTAAGTCGTGTTTTCATAAATTCTGCTGACTCTTTCAACTGAATATCAAATTTCATCTCATTTGCTATTGTAAAATTATACAAATTATGGGAGGAAGTGCGACTTTGTTATTCAGGCTACATGTTTTGACTCCCAGTCACATTTGGAATTGTTTGCCCATGTTGTGTCTAGCAAGGAAATGACTGAGACTGGAAGCAAGAAGGGAAATGGAATAGAGTTAAGTAGAAGCTTACAAGGCTGCCTGCAACTGCCTTGTAATTAACCTGCAGGCACAGTAAAACCATGCAGCGGTGCTTCAAGTTCCATGGACAACCCAAAGTCAATGGTTCCATACTGAAAGTCAAAGTGCTTTCATAGAGTCGACGAGATCCATCACCCTGTTGACAACACCTCTATCTGCAGCAACTGATCTAGATAGAATGATTGTTGAGCACAGCAAACATGTGCAACTGAAAAAATTATGGAGAAAGTCTTCCCTGTGGCCATATTATGCTCCACGAAGGACCAGAATGTGATTAGGAACAGTTGGTGTGGATAGATCAACGGTTGGTAGTGCCAGAACCAACCTGGTGGCCTTCTGCAATGAGGTAGTTGGGGGTGGGGAAAGCAGTGGATTTTATCATGATTTTGTCATTTTTCTCTCATACCTTATCTTCAAATACAGACTGGATGGGTAGAGAGCAAACTGGGTGGAAAACTGTCTGGAATCCTGGACTCAAAGATATTCAGGGTTTCCTAGTCCAGCTGGCAGGCTGTTCATTTCCCTTCTGTTGATAAACAAAGCCTTCTGGTTTTCCAGTTTTCTTGTCCTTATCTCCTGAGAGTTGGCATCAGGTAGCTTACTTCTCTCATTTTTTTGC